TTTTTCTCATTCTGTGTCTTGTAGTTTTCTTTTTTCAAACAGTCTTTTCAAGAGCAGGCATTCTAAATTTTGATGAAGTTCAGTTTATCAATTTGCTCTTTTATGAACCCAATTTTCAGTGTCACATGAAATCTTTGTCCAATTCAAAGCCTCAGATTTTCTTCTAGAAGTTCTATAGTTTTAGGTTATACATTTAAGTATATGATTTAATAGACTTGGGTTAATTTTTTGTACAATGAAGTTTCAGACTGAAGTACTTTTTTTGTTGTGTCCACTTGTTTCTGCACCATTTGCTGGAAAGACTATCCTCTTTCCAATGAATTGCCTTTACGTCGGTCAACAATCAGTTGTCTGGTCAGTGCGGGAGCTAATGCCTGTAGTCCTTAGGAATCAGAGATCGAAAGAATTGTGGTTTGAGGCCAGTGTGGGAAGATCCCATTTCAACCAATAAGCTGGGCATGATGGCATGTGTCTGTGATCCCAGCTACACAGGAGGCAAGGGGTAGGAGGACTGCAGTCCAAGCCAGCGCAGGCAATAACAGGAGATCCTATTTGAAAAATAATGGAAGCAAAACGGCATAGGGACAAGGCCCAAGTTATAGAGTGGCTGACTAACAAGCACGGGCCCTGAATTCAAACCGCCAGTACCTCCAAAAAACAAATTCTGTTTGGACCAGACATGGTATCACATACTTGTAATCCCAGCACTTGGGAGGCAGGGGATAGGAGGATGACAAGTTTGAGGTAAAGCTGAGCTGTATAGGAGTCTGACCAGCGTGAGCTACACAGTAAGATCCTGTCTCAAAAACAAAAAACCAATACTTTATACTTGTGAGTGCACATATCTTTTATAACTTTTATCAGATTTATTCTTAGGTACTTAAGTATTTCATCTTTTTATGCTATTGTGAGTGGTGTTATTTCTTAAATTTTAAATTATGACTGTTTGTTTCCAGTATTTAGAAAAATAATCAATTTTTATATGTTGATCTTGTTCTCCAACCTTGCTAAACTCATACTTATTGACCCTTGTAGGGTTTTTTTTTTTCTTTTTTTGCACATTCTAGAGAACTTACTTTCTACATAGAATATCATGTCCTCTGTGAATAAAGCAGTTTTCCCCTCTCTTTCAATCTGAATAACCTTTCATTCCTTGTCTTGCCTTACTGCCCTGTCCAGTGTAGGGTTGAACAGAAGTGGTTAGAGTAGGCTCCCTCTTCTTGTTCTCAGTCTTTGCAGCCCTTCCCCGTCAAGCATGATGTCAGTAACAGGTTTTTGTAGGTGTTCTGTATCAGGTTAGGGAGGATCTTTTCTACCCATCATCTACTGAGAGTTTCTATCAGGAATGACTGTTGGATTCAGTCAAATAATTTTTCTGCATCTATAAAATTATCAAATGGTTCTTTTGAAATTCATTAACATGACAAATTACATTGGTTTTTTTTTTAATGTTTTGTGTTCTTGTAGTAAACACCACTACCTAATATATTATCTTTGTGTTATTGTTTTGTTTCTGGTTTTTGAGACAAGTTCTCACGATGTAGCTCAGGCTGGCCTCAAACTTGCAAGTCTCCTGAATGCTGGGATTACAGGCATGAGCCAACATACTAAGCTATAGATTATCCTTTTAACATAGTGTTAATTTGGATTTGTTAATCTTTTGTTTAATTTTTTAATTTTATGTTCATGAGATATATTGGTTCTTAATTTTCTTTTCCTTTAGTTTCTTTGTATGCTTTTGTTATCACAATAATGCTGGCTTCATAGAATGAGTCAGACGCAATCTTTCTGTTTCAGTACTCTACAACAGTTTATGTAGAATTGGTGTTCTTCCTTAAATGTTTGGAGTATTCACTAGTGAAGTCATTTGGGTCTGGAGTTTTTTCACAGGAAGGTTTTTTTTTTAACTAAAAAAAAAATCAATCTGTAAGAATTAAAGTACAATTCAGATTTTTTCTTTCTTTTGTGGTAGTAGGGATTGAACCCAGGGCCACTGGGCAAGCTCTCTATCACTGGAGCCAGGCCCCTCGCTCTTTTGTTTTTAGTTTGTTTTGAGAGAGGGTCTTCCTCAGATTTGACTGGCTAGCCTGAAGCTCACAATCTTCCTGCCTTCACCTTCCAGTAGCTGGGATTACAGGCTTGATAGTTTGTGTTTTGCAAAGAATTTGTCCATCTTACCTAAATTGTTATAGATCTTAACATGGACTTTTTCATGTATTTTCTTCTTATCCTTTTACTATCTCTCATTTGTCATACTGGTAACTTATGTCATCTAGAATTTTATCAATTTTCTTAGCACCACTATGAAATATCAACATTAATTACTGCCAAATTCTACTTACTTGACTCATGGGTCATTTAGGAGTGTGCTACCTAATTTCCAAATATGTGTGGATTTTCCAATGCCTTTCTCCTACTGTCTTCTAACTTAATCAGAGCACATGTTTGTATGTCTTGAATATTTTTTAACTTACTGTGATTTATTTTGTGGACTAAGATATGGTCTGTTTTGGTAACTATCTCATGTATGCTTGAAAATATTGTATATTTCTGCTGTTGGTTAGAATATTCTATACATGTCATGTAAATTGAGTTGGTTTATATGGTTTTGAAATCTTTTATATCCTTACTGATTTTCTGTATACTTGTTCTATAAATGAGTGAAGAATATTAAAAATTTTGATTTTAATTAGAAATTTATCAATTTTTCCTTGCAGTTCTATTAGTTTTGCTTCATGTATTTTAAAACTCTGCTTTTAGATGGAATTGAGCTTAAGATACTATGCCCTTTTGATGACTTGGACCCTTTACAATTATGAAATGACCTTCTTTACCCTTAACAATGTTATTTGCTCTGAAATCTGCTTTTTGTAATATTAAGATAAACGCTTGCCAGGCATGGTGGCATAAGCCTGTAATCCCAGCAGTTTGGAGACTGAGGTGAACCTAGGCTACATGGTAATACCTTGTCTCAAACAAACAAACAAACAAACAAACCACTTCAGCTTTCTTATGATTAGTATTGGCATGATGTATCTTTTTCCGCTGTTTTACTTTTAACCTCTTCATATCTTTTTTTTCCTCTGGTGGGACTGGGGTTTGAACTTGGGGCTTCATGCTGACAAAACAAGCTCTCTACCACTTTGAGCCACAGCTCTAGTCCATTTTGCTCTGGTTATTTTGGAGATGGGGTCTTGTGAACTATTTTTGCCCAGGCTGGCCTTGAACCTCTATCCTCTCAATCTCAGCCTTCCACGCAGTTAGAATTACAGGTGTGAGCCACCAACACTCAGATGAAATGCATTTCTTTCAGGCAGCATATAGTTGAATCTTATTAGTTTTTTAAAAAAAATTCCAATCTATCAATCTCTGTCTTTTAATTATAATATTTAATATTTACAGCATTTACATTTAAGGTACTTATCGATATTGTTAGGTTAAACCTATTTTATTTATTTTATGTTTATCCTGTTATTTCTTTGTTCTTCCTTTCCTCCTCTGCTGCCTTCTTTTGGGTTAATTGGATTTTTGATTATTCCATTATTGGCTTTGTTCCTTTGTTGGCTTATCAGATAGCGTCTCTCTGTGTTGCCCAGCCTGGTCTTAAACTCCTAGACTCAAGCAATGTTCCTGCCTTGGCTTCCTGAATAGCTGGGATTACAGATGTGCATGGTTGTGCCTGTAATCTATGCAAACTACTGACGTCATTTCCATTCAGTGTATTATTTTATTTCACACATTGTTTTTATCTCTAGAAGTTTGATTTGGGTCTTTTTCAACATCCTTAATGTCTCTAACTTTTTGTAACATATGTGGTACAATTATAACTTTCTAAACGTCCCTATGTGCTAATTCTAACATCTGTATAAGTTGTGGGTCAGATTCAGGGGATTGATTGATCGTTTATAATGAGAAACATGTTCCTGCTTCTTTGTTCCTGGTCATTTTTTTGTTGGATTCCAGACCTGGCAGGTTTTTTTGCTTTGCTGGTTGCTGGATAGTTTTCTGTTTCTATAAATACTCTTGAGTTCTGTTCTGGGACCAGTGAAGGCTCTAGATCCCTTTGTACCTTGCTTTAAGGTTGTTAGAAAGGAATGGAATTGTGTTCTGTCTAGAGATAACTATTACCCACTACAAGCAATCGCTCTTCCACAGGCTGTAGTCAGCATCAGGTGACTCCTGCAGTGGTTCAGTCTGGCTAGTAGGAACAGATTAAAACTGACTTTTAAGGTTTCTGAGTAGTTCTTTCTCTCACCTCAGGTGGTTTCTTTGCACCTCTGTGCTGACCAGGACAGTTGGAAGTTTGAGGCATGCTGTGCAGAGGTCAGGTTTCCCTCTCTGGGTAGTTCTCCCACCTGTGGTACTCTTTTCTGTGAACTTCCCTATCCACTTTGGCAGGAGATAGAAGTCCATGTAGAGAAAACGCCAGCATTTCTGATACCTGTAGGCTCATCTCAGTGAATGGTTATGAAAACAGAAGCAGAAAAATTACTAAAGGGCAATCTGATTTCATCCTACTGAAAATCCCTACCTGAGCTGGGTGTGGTGGTACACACCTGTAATCTCAGCACTTGGCAGGCTGAGGCAGAAAATCAAGAGTTTGAGGCCAACATAGGCTACACAGCAAGCCCCTGCCCACCCCCCGACCTGACATTAGAAGCATGCATTTCTTTGAAAAGAATTATAGACTGTGGGCTGTGCTCATGGCCCTGGGTTGTTAACCACTCAATGAGCTCCTTCCTAATTCTCAAGTGTGATTTAGGGAGCAAACATTGGTAGGTATATATTGAAATTGCATTATGAAAATGGGACTGTGTAGGTCCTAGGTAACTTGGTGACTGTTGATCACTGCTGTAGTTCCAGACATGTAGACAGACATCTCCTGCAGTTTTGCATGCTTCCCACTGCTAGGATTTGGACTGGGTGGTAATGGGAGGATGTGAGTGTGGACCATGAAGAGGACTTTATCAGGTAATGGAAGGCCTGTTTTCTCCCCACAGGTGCCTTCTTTATCCCCTACCTCATCTTTCTCTTTACCTGTGGCATTCCTGTCTTTCTCTTGGAGACTGCACTGGGCCAGTACACTAGCCAGGGAGGTATCACAGCCTGGAGGAAGATCTGCCCCATCTTTGAGGGTGAGTAACGTGGTCAAATCCAGAGAATCTTCACTTGTGGTTATAAATTTTATTTGGAATGATTGAACCACGAACAGTGGTTCTGAGATTCAGGCAAGACTCTTGTGTCTCTGTGTACGTACCTTTGGTTTGTGGGCTGCGCTTGATCCATCAGAAGATGAGGGAGAAACAGACAAGGATAGGACAAAGGCTGCAGGTTAAATTAGTAGAGTACAAAACTATCTTAGCTATATATGTATTAAATAATTTATATTTTAAAGATATATTTAATCAATTATAAAACATTTAAAAAGAGAATTTTAAGTGAAGAATAAACTAGTTCATTAATAGTTATTTCATCTTGACAAGATAACTTTCACTTTTAGGGTGTTTGTTTCATTTCTCTGCTTATTTGAGCAGTATTTTCTTTAAGTTTTTATTTTGGAACATTTATAGATTCATAGAAAGCCACCAAAGTAGTGCAGAGAGGTCCTGTGAACTCTTTGTCCAGCTTTCCCTAATGGCGACATCTTACATAATTACAGAATAATAGGAAACCCCAGAACTGTGGTACTGTATTCACAGACCTTGTTCAGATGGAAGTGGTTTCCTGCACCCTCAGTTGTATGTGTTCCGATGGTTCTGTCTGATTTTATCGCGTCTAGATCTGTGTGACCACCACCACCAAGATCCTCACAGTCCATCATTGCAATGACCTCCTTCACATTGCCCCTTTGCAGTCACACTTTCCCCTGTCTCTCCCCATAGCTGACCTCTGTCAGTCCCTATTTTGTCTTCTTTCCCTCTAATTTTGTCATTGTGAGAGTGTCATATGAACGGACTTGGCAGTACATGATGTTTTCGTGATTGGCTTTTTACTCAGCATGATGCCCTCGACTCATCCAGGTTCTTTTGTGTAGCAATAGACCATTCCTTTTTCATTACTGAGTAGTACTCCACATCGACCAGATACCACAGTTTGTTTAAGCATCCACTCATTGAGGAACATTTGGGAGTTCTATTTCAATATTTCTTTCTCTTTCTATAGCGCCTATAATGTATCAGTATGGAATATGCATAGTTTTTGTTCTAGGATTGAATGCTAGTGTCTCTGCAGAGTGGTATGTCATGACTGTTTCATTTTACACAGCTGTAATTACGAGAGGATAAATATTCTTTAAAGATGTTCATTCATATTTGCATTTCTCCTACGTGAATTGTCTGCCTCTGCTTTTAACTTGTGTTTTTAATGTTTCAGAAACATGTCAGACTAATTCTGGGGAACATTAACTAGTGCTATCATGGAGTTAATCTTACCTATTCTAAAAATAACTTTGAATAAGCGAACTTCCAGAGTCTGAGAAAGATGAAAGTGCACAGCGAGCAGGCCCAGTGCAGTAGGAGGCAGGAGGAAAGTCCTTGTCTGACCTGGGAGGGCTGTTGGAGCTGGGGTGGGAAAGGAGGGCCAGGAGCGTTGGCCCCAGTATCTTGTTTTAGGAGCTGATGGTGGCATGCAGGCCCCTTCCTGAACAGGGTGGGAGGTGTGTGAGGAATCTGTGCACCGTCCCAACCTAGTTCTACTCTGTCCTCACCCCGCCCAGGCATCGGCTACGCCTCCCAGACGATCGTCGTCCTCCTTAACACCTACTACATCATCGTGCTGGCCTGGGCCCTCTTCTACCTCTTCAGCAGCTTTACCACTGACCTCCCCTGGGGAAGCTGCCTCCATGAGTGGAACACAGGTAATGTCGTCACTGGAGCCCACTGCCCCCTCCTGTGCTGCCCCATTAACCAGGAGGGGGATTGTCCCTATCTCCCAGTCAACCCCAGCCCCAGTCTGAATTTGAGATCCAGAAATCAGCCAAGTAGAACATGGAGCACCTACATGAGCCTATGGCCACACCACCCCGAAAGCACCCGATCCTGTCTGATCTCGGGAGTTAAGCAGGGTTCGGCCTGGTTAGTATTTGGATGGGAGAATTCACATCCAAATGTGAATTCAAGGGGGATGGGGGGGGAGGGAGGGGAAGCTAACTCAGTGGTAGAGTGTGTGCCTGGCCCTGGACTCCATTGCCAGCACCACACACAAACAAACCCAAAACGTTCACCAGCAGCACAGGCAAAATGTGATGGACGTTTTGTAAAACAAATTGACGTATTCAAACCATGTGTTATGCAAATACATGGCTTCCTCCTAAATGTTTAGCCATTTATTTATTTCAAGTTGGAATGTGGCCAGTTTGGTACATTTGTCTACTATTTGTTCATTTACTCACTTCTCATGTCTTCTTTCTGGTATTATTTTAGGTCGTTCAGACTTGTAATCTATCTAGGCTTTACTAGGGAATGAGTTGTTTTGTATGCCATAGATATAATTTATAGTAGCAATTAACTTCTCCTGTGCTTATAAGACTATGTGATTCACTAAATCTAATGTATTGAAAGTAATGACAATGACAACAACATCCAGGGGAGAGCTGCCTGCCCCAGAGCTCTGTCCACGGGGATGGGTACATTCTCTACCCTGTCTAACCCAGAGCGCCAGCTACATGTGGCTTGTGAGCACCTGAAAGGCAGCTAGTGTGTCTGAGGAGCAGAATTTTAAAATGTTTACCTAATTTATCTTAAACACTCATGTGAGCCAGTAGCTGCCCTATTGGGCATCATTCTGCTTGGATTCTCACTGCTACATCTGGCTGTCATTGTCCAAATAACTTTTAGTGCTTGTGCATGAGACCTACTCTTGTGAAGTGGAACTAGCCATGATTAATTCTTTCTTGTCCAAAGAAGTTACTTGGTTCTGAACTGGAGTTTGAATCCTTTACTTGCCAGGGAAAACCGTTTTCGCAGGTTTTAGAAGGGCACTCTTTACACCTTCATAATCTTCTACCTCTTAGATCTGCCTGTTCATCTCACTTCACTCTTACCATTCTTGCCCTCATATTTCATACTTCCTTTCCGAGCAGTTCCTGGGCCATCTCTGCCACCACCTTCATCCTACCACCATGTGTTAAGCGAAAGGTCAGATCTTGGTGGTGCCTCCCCTGATAAGCCAAGATGGCATTAGGTTCTTCTCAATGTATCTGGTGGCCCTCCCGTGGCACTTACTTCTCTTGCCATTTATTCACTTGGTTTTGCCACTAGTTGGCAAGATGTGGAGGCAGGAAAGGCTCTCATCCCATGGCTTTTGTGCCTGGCACAATGCTGGCTACCTACCTCATAAGTTCTCAAGAAAGATTTGTTGAATAGAAGTTTACAATCTGTTTAATTCTAATAGTTTTTCATATAAATATTTATTTTTTCTGTTTTACATCTATGGGCATTGAATTGCCATTGACAACAAGCTTGTCAGAGGGTGAACATTTTGTGCCGATACTAGTACAGTGCTTCTTGAAAAAAATTGGGTAAAATTTTGCTTACCTACAGCTTTTGTTCCAGGGCATTATTGGGTTGATTGCAGGTCTCGGAAAATTCTGAGGCAAATAGAATATCTGAGTCTTTATTTTCAGACATTTTTGATACCTGTCTGAGTGAGTCTGGTTTTACTCAAAGCCTACCATCTTGAATAGCATAGGCTGTCCTATCCTGGCTAGATGAAATAATACCTTCTTTAAGGAAAGTGATATGGTTTAGTGGAGAGAACCCTCCACTGGCATTCCATCCTTCAACAGGCTTCTGTTGAGTTACCTACTGTCTGCCGGGCTCTGTTCTAAGCACTAGAAACACAGTAATGTACACAGAGTCCTGTGCTCTGGAGCTGTCATTCTAGTGGTGGGAGATAGACCACAAACAAAATAAATGAGTAATATGGGTGATGATTCGAAGAAGTAATATGTATTAATGTTAGAAGAAGTTCTATGGAGAAAACTGAAACAGGCAAGGGGACTGGGGGTTGTAGGGGTGAGGTGGGTTTTAAATAGGGTGGTCAAGAAAGAACTATGGAAATGACACTTGAGAAACACTTGAAGAGGAGAGGGATAAGCCACTAAGATAGCAGAATAAACATGCTGGTAGAGGAACAGTGAGTCAAAGGCCTGTAGGTGCACAGTGCCAAAAGTGTCCAGGGAACAGCAAGGGACCTGGTGTGGCTGGAGTGGAAAAGAGGTCAAAGGCGTTGAGGGACAGATTCACTAGGCCTTGAGGGGCTAATGGGGTTTTGGCTTTTCTCTCTAAGTAGAATGGAAAACCCATCGGAGAGTTTGAGATGAGGTATGACACAAAGGGAGTCAAGACCACACCTCCCTGGCTACTGTGTGGGGATTTGACAAGAGAGGCAGGGTAGAACTGGAGGCCGGTTAGGAGTTATGAGATGATGGCGGCCGGTAGCAGGGTGGTAGTGACGATAAGGAGAAGGGTCAGAGTCTAGACATTTTGAAGGTAAACCCTAAGGAGTTTGCTGACCTGGATTCTAGCCCATACTTCGTCATTTATGAGCTGCAACAGGCCATTTCTAAGAAGATTCAATTTCTTTGTATGTACAATGGGGAAAATATCTGTCTTAATATTTCTCAGAATTTATTATGCTAATAAGAGATTACAAAGAATGTCAACAGTCTGTGTGAAACTATAAGAAGAACCATCACTTACTGAGCACTCGACATTCATGTTCTCATTTAATCCCCCATCAGTCCTACAAGATGGATGTTAATACCTACGTTTTAGAGATTAGAGAAATGGCTCACATTACCAAGGTGTCACTTACCCATGGCCACACAGCTGGCCCCAGAAGGTGAGGATTCAAGCCACAGCCCTGACTTCATCCCTGTACCTGCACTCTTGGCTGCTCTGCTACATTACTTCCCTGGAAGGCACTCTCATTATTCCTCAAAGGAATTACCTGGGACAATTTCCTGGGAAAATTTGCATACTTTGAAGCCACTGCACTTGGAGCGTCGGTCCTAATGCCAGCTTACCAGCTTTCATGAGAACGTGCACCCAGACACTTACAGGCTCACGGGGAGGTGGGTAGGAGAGATGAGGTGGGCTCACTTGAGGTCATCACATGGCTGAGGAAGCTTTGCACAGAACTCCAGCCCAGCTCTTTCAGGATTCCTTACTTCTGTTCTCCCACGACCCCACCCATTCTCTCTAGTCATGCCAAATGTTGGCTGACCATCTCTCTTTCTTTCTTCCCTGGGATTCCTGGGGTAGAGAACTGTGTGGAGTTCCAGAAGACCAATGGCTCCCTGAACGTGACCTCTGAGAATGCCACTTCCCCTGTCATCGAGTTCTGGGAGTAAGTGAGGCCATTTCCCCTCTGAATGTGGGCCTTGTGTTCCGAAGCAGGGTGTGGGGCAGAGTTTTCGATGGACAGCAAGGGGAGGATTGTGTTTCCTTCTTTCCTGGCCCTGTCACTTGTTTCTGTGGTGGCTTTGTTGTGGTTAATGCAGGACTGGTTTCAGAGACGAGATCGTCTTAGTTCTTCTCATGTTAAAGAGTGTATACACGTAGCCGGGTGCCGATAGCTCACGCCTGTAATCCTAGCAATTCAAGAGGCAGAGATCAGGAGGATTGAGGTTCGAAGCCAGCCTGGACAAATTGTTTGCTAGACCCTATCTCGATTAAAAAAAAAAAAAACCTTCACAAAAAGTGGGCTGCTGGAGTGGTTCAAGGTGTAGACACTGAGTTCAAGCCCCAATACCAAAAAAAAAAAAAAAAAAAGAAGTGCATATACCTGTCTTCACACTCCTGTCCACCCTCTTCTCTTTGGCTATGTGTGTGATGCCTCTTATTCAATCTGTCTCTCAAATATTGATATTCACCCAAGGCCTGACTAATGATATCAAAATACTCTACAACCCTGGTTCAGAAAATATATGTTTGCTTCTCCTTCTCCGTGTTAAATTAGCACTCAGAGCAAACTTATTTGCCACCCTTTATATCTACTTCCATCTCTGGGAAAACAAGAGCCTCAAAAATCCCAGTGAAAAGAGCTGACAAGTCTTAAGATGAGAGTCACAGGCATGGCTCTACTGCCTGAGACCTGTGCCTTCAGAGTTGTAAGAATGGCTCAGTGGAAGAGCATTTCCCTAGCACGTTCAAGGCTCTGGGTTCAATTCCCAGCACAGCAAAACTAAAAAGAAAGAGGAAAGCAAAGAAAAGAAAGACCTGAGGCTGGCAAGGAAAATGGAGCCAGGTTTACCCCTCTCTCCTAGGAGGCGGGTCCTGAAGATCTCTGATGGCATCCAGCATTTGGGGGCTCTGCGCTGGGAGCTGGTTTTATGCCTCCTGCTTGCCTGGGTCATCTGCTACTTCTGCATCTGGAAGGGAGTCAAGTCCACAGGCAAGGTATGTGTTAGAGAGCTCCTGCCCCCTCCCATCCCAGGATGACTTGCCCTCATTGGAGGCCGTCACCCAGGAGTCCCCTTGGTTGTCCTAGGGAGGTTGGGAAAGAAAGATTTCATGTGGCTCCCTCCCTTGATTCTGTGCCTCTCTTGGATGTAATCCCAGTCCCTCTGGAAGATGAAATGGGAGAGAGAAAGGCAGGAAGGACACCTCCAGAGGAATTTGATCTTGGAATCTACCACGTGTGTGAACACTTTGCAAACTGGGCATAGCTCCCTGTTTCATATAACAGTTCTGTGGATAAAGCCTAGACTGTTCACCTCAAAATGATTCTCAACCAACTTGAAACTTTTGGGGTCTTTTTGCCCTAGATGGTGTGAGGTGTTAGAGGGTGTCCTGAGTTCTTCTGGATTTCTGCCCTAGAGGTCTTGAACAAGGCTTTCTTCCTAATCTGGCTGCCTGGTTGTGCTAAGCTCCTAAACGCTTATGAGGAAGGGATCATGTGTTACAGATTTTTTCATACCTGAGAAGCCTTGTCACAATAATGCTAAGCACTCTTGTTGGAGAATCCTTAAGATCATTCAGTCACTCTACAAATATTTACTGAATATGTATGAGGAGGGCAAGTGCTTTAAACTGGAAGGAGGGAGAGGGAAATTGTGGCCCAAGACATCAGGAGATGGAACTGAACAGCTGCAGGGCTGAAAGGGAGCATCAGGAGAGGAACTCCCCTGAGTTCTGTGGGGTGGGAGCTGCTATCTCCTGCCTCCTGCCCCTCCTTCCTAACTCACTTGTACCTTGTCCCTTGTCTGTCCTTGACCAGGTGGTGTACTTTACAGCCACATTCCCTTACCTCATGCTGGTGGTCCTGTTAATTCGAGGAGTGACTCTGCCTGGGGCAGCCCAAGGAATTCAATTTTACCTGTACCCCAACCTCACACGTCTGTGGGATCCCCAGGTAAGAAGCCTGGCTCTGGAGGTGCTTGAACTGTAGGCTTCCCTGTGCCCTGGAAGCACAGGATCAGGGAGGTCCCTGATCCTGGCCCCTCTCCAGGGCAACTATGATGGTGGTGGTGCTCCCTTCTTCCTGCAGACATCTGTTAGCAGCTGCTTGTGGTCATAAGGTGTCTGACCCTGTCCCGTCTTGGTCCACAGCTGCCAGAGAACCCAGGGAGCCTGAGACCCTTGTGACATTTCTCAGGGACCAGAAATATGTCACTAAATGCCCTTACTGCGGTGGGCTGTGTCCTTTGCCCTTCCATCTACATATTTTTCTCAACCTGTCTTTTTTTTTTTCCGTTTCCTTCTAAGCTTTCTCTCTATTTCTTGCCTTCAGTCCACCACTCCCTCTGCCCTCTGATGCCCTCTCGCTGGCCACATGACCCCTCTCTGGGCCCCCAGCTCCCTGCCCCTCCTTGCACCAGCTGGACTGGTGTTAAATTTCCTGTCTCTGGTCTCTTTTTCTCCCCTCCCGCTCTTCCTTCAGTGTCCACACTCCCTCTGCTACTGGCAGCTTCATTAGGGCCCAGGGAGGGGGCAGTGCTGCTTGCAGATTGGAAGGTGTATGTAGAGAGGCCTGGGTAAGAAGCCCCTGACTCTTAAAGGTATCTTCTTTTCTCCTCTTTGGCAGCCATTTTGAAAGCTGGCAAAGCCTCTGGGAGTGTGGGTAAGTGCCACCCCAGAGCTCTGAGACTGTCTTACCCAGTTTTGCCCCATGCCTCTGCATTTTTGGCTCAGAGGGGAGCATGTGCACTATTCGGAGATGCTCCTCTTAGTTGTTAGAGGCGCTCTGTGTCCGTGCAAGGATCCCCCAGGAGACTCAAAGGGAGCTGCTACCAGTGCTTTGGAGGGCCTTCCAAACATGTAAACCAGCCAGGCGCCAGGCACCAGCACTGGCTCTGAAGTTGCATGGGGACAGGGCTCCAGAATTCCTTCCCAGGCAACAGCTCCCCCTGGGCAAGATGTGGACCAAATCTCTTTCCTTTCTTGGCTTTCCCTTTCAGACTTGTGAGCTTTCAGCCTTAACTTCTCCTGGGTCTATCATGACTCCTAGAGGCAGCCAGGCCAGCCCTGCTTAGAGACTTCCCCACAGACTGGCATGGCTTTGGTCCGGGTGTCTTTCCATGATTCCTGTGGGACATGAGCTTATCTTTTCCCTCTCCCTTTCTGACACATCACAGAGACAATCACGCAGATTGTTATTGCCTCCCTGACACATATGGCACCATGACTGCAGTCAGCGTGTGGAGCTAAATGGTACAGCCAGAGATCAGCCAGTGCTGCCTCCTCATTGCACTAGTAAGAACTTCTCTAGGGAGAAGCCCTTCAGCTTATCTGCAACCAAAGTGCTGCGATGCAGGGTAGGTAGTAAGGAGGCAGTGTGGGAAGCCTTTGAAAGCCAGGCAAAGAGTCTGGCTTGGATCTACCATGCAAGAGGGAACCCTTAGTAGTTCTGGAGTTGTGGATCAGTGGTAAAAACTCACCTTTGCTTGCAGGTTGAGAGGACAGGGATGTGGTCAATGGGGAGACTGAAAGAGAAAAAGAAGACGGAAGTATTTGTGGCTTTGCCCTGATCAGCTATTTATAGCTAACAACTGGTGAAGGCTTACTATGTCTCTGGCACTCTTAGGAGGTTTGCAGACACTGTTTTGGCAAATCTTCCTGGTAGATAAGTGAGCTATCCCCATTTTACAGATAAAGAAATCGAGGCCTAGTACAGGCATGGTGATGTGAGCCTGTAATCCCAGCTACTTGAGAGGTAGAGGCAGGAGGATCTTGAATTGAGGCCAACCAGGACAAAGGTAGTATAACCCTGTCTCAAAAAAAAAAAAACAAAACAAAATAAACTACTCCCGAGGCAGAGATAGGAGGGTCAAAGTTTGAGGTCAGCCTGAGCAACATTGCATTTCAGCAAGCAAGCTGGGCATTGTGGTCCTCATCTGTGGCTGGAAGGCAGAGGTAGGAGAATTCAGGTCAACCCCCTCCCCCCCCCTCCCCCTCCCCCTGCGGCAGGAGAGTTATCACAAGACCCTATCTGAAAAACAAAGTCAAAACAAAAGGACTGGCTCAAGAAATGGTAGAGCACCTGCCTGGCAAGTGCATGACCCTGAGTTCACATCCCAGTAATGCCAAAATTGTTTTCCTATTGTCACACCTGCAGACTGGAACCAGGTCCGAATGGTAGCAATACCATATATATTGCGACCTCCAACTGAAAACAAGGTTTTCTTCTCTGGTCATCTTTGTTTCTCTCCCACTCCATTCATCCAGCAAGAAAATGGGTTGAAAACAAATAAATTTAAATAAATAAATAAATGAGTTGAGCATCTGTTATGTGCCAGGTCTGTTGTAGGTGCAATGTTTGGTACAAAATCTCTTCCAGCTGACATGAACCTGGACTAGGTAGCCTTCACTCTCAGGCCATGACTCTGTGGCTGGGTCACTGCAGGAGCAAGCCACACATCTTTTCGAGCCCAGCCAGCTGTAGGCTGCACAGGGCGCTCATCTTCCAAGTGCTTTGAGGCTATGGGGAGGGAGCTGTTTGAAGAGCAGCCTGATTCTGGCCTCACGCTGAAGCTGGGTCTTTGTCATCAGTGAATGGAGCAGCACCTGCAGGGTGGGATGCCCCTGCCAGAGCCCTAATTGAATCTAGTTGGCATTCCCTGGGAAGTGTGATAATTCCAACTGGTATTTGCCTGGCACTTGAGAAAGGTGCAAAATCCCTGTGAGCCAACACAAAGACCAAAGACAGCTCTCTCTGCCAAGCACTGAGGCTGGGGGCTGGGAGCCAGGCAGAGACAATGTGGAGTTCATCTTTCTTTGCCACCTTTCTTTTGCCAGGCTTGCTGTATCATGGGCAGGTTGTTGCCTTTCCTGGACTCCAGGGCTCACACTAGGGACTGGCTCCTTGGAATGTAGGGTTCTGCCTACAGTTGCAGCATCTGCTTCATTCAGTCCTCTTGTCTCTTTGCCTCTTTCTCTCATCCTAACCTCTTGAGTTCTATTGAATTTTGATAGATGGACCAGGCAGGGGACTGTGAGCAGGATGTCCAAAGAGCCTTGCTAAATCTTTTAAAGCCCCATCTTTTAAGCAATTCTAATGAAGGAGTAGGGAGTTGAAACCATGTGTCAGACTTTGTATAATTTTAGTAGAGTACATTGAAATCAATGTCATCTCATTATCACTGAAAGGTGAGTTGCTTTTTTTTTTTCTAGTGGTACTGGGGTTTGAACTCAGATCTTGGCTCTTGCTAGGTGGGTACTCTGCTGATTCAGCCACACCTCCAGCCTGTGAGTTGCTTTTTAAAATGATAGCAACAAAGAACAGAAGCATGAGCTCACATGTATGATGTGCTTATTGATTGAGTGCTTGACATGGTTTAATCTTCACACTAACTCTGAGTCAGGCATTAGCCTCATTTTACAGATGAAATCAGAAGCTTAGAAAACCGAAGAGACTTGTCAGGACCATGTGGGGAAGCTGGACTTCATCCTGAGCAGTCTTTTGGAGTCTGTGGTCTTTAGCCTTCAAGACAGAGCTTTTCCAAATCCTATGACTTGTTTGAGAGTTTTAGGGCTGCTTTTTTTATTATTTGAGAGGGTGGGATGGAAAACTAATATTTATTTATGTGTTAGGCACTTTGCATACATTGTTTGTATACCCATTTTTATGATGAGAAAAGAGAGGTTCGGAGTGGTTGAGTGACTTGCCTCAGATCAAACTGCCAGTAATAAATAGTGAGGAATTGAGCCCAGGTCAGTTTGACCATGCTTTTCCATTACACACTTCTAAGAATTAGATAGATGTTCGTAATCCTGGGGGTGGGACACAAAGTTGAAAACATCTTTTCTAGACCTGTTAAAGGTCTTTCTTTTTCTACCAAAAGACCTCTTTTTACCCACATTCCACCAAGTGCTTTTCATACTTGTTATTTCTTGGTCAGTCTTTTGCTCCAACCAAAAACACTTCAGCGTTTTGTTCTGGAATCCAAGGCTCCTGGGATGAGCAGGGAGTGAGTCGCCTGTGGTGGGGAACAGAACAGCTTTCCCAGTGTTCCTTCAGCTTCCTCTGACCCCATTCTACCGTCCTCCAATCTGCCCCGCTCAGCAGGCTTGTCAGGCCATGCTGTGTAGATAGCAGGCCTGCCAAGCTCCCAGTGAGGGGTTTTGTCAAAGGCACCACATGGGACCCCTGAACTCTGAACTCTCGTCCTCCTGCGGCATGTTCCTCTGTTTTTGGTAACCTCTCCTCCAGACTTCTACCCTCGGTTCCTGCTGGGTGAGGTAAACAGCCAAGTCACGACTGCTCCTATGATTTCTTCCCAAGCCCAAGTTCACAAATACTCAATGTTACAAGACAGAGCCCCTGCCTGCATGTGGGCAGTCAGAGAGTGTCTCTGTGGGCACTGGGTAGTGCCCTTGTAACTAGTGCCAATTTGTACTCTGTGCACTGTTAAGCATGAGGCAAGCATCCTTAGCAGAGGCCTGGAGGCTGCAAGGCCACAAGCCTGGATGACCTATTTTGGAGAGAATGCCTGGCCTCAGGGTGGGTAGCACTGGGAAGGGGGCAGGAGCTGAGCACCTCCCATCTCCCTCTTCTGGAAAATCCCTTCTTTACCAGGGGCTTTTGCTACAAGGTCCCACTCTTGAAGTTGCCAAGAACCTACGGAGTAGGCAGGAATGAGCCAGACAGTGCCAAAGGTCACTGAGTTGTCCTGAAATGACTGGGGGCAGTCTTAGGAGAGCAGAGGATGTGGGAAAATCTCCAAGGAGCTGGACTACCTTTCATCCCTCCCCTTCCTTCTGTAGCTTCTGACATAAAACCCTCTCCCTTTAACCCATTACAGTTTTCCTCAAGGTTGAAACAGTCTTTCTTCTTGGTTTCTCTGACTTTGATGCTATTCTCTCAATAGCCCTGGCCCCTCCACATCCTCCTCTGTGCTTCTTGCGGCTGACCCTTTTTCCTGGTGGCCACTCCTCCTCAGGGAGCACTCAGGATTCCCAGTGAGCAGAGGGAACTGAAGACTGGTGACAATCTCCCCTTGCCTCCACCATCTCTCCTTGCTAGGTCCCCATGCCTGCAGAAAGGGAAGTATAGCAAGAGGAAGGGTATCTGAATGGATTCCAGATGCCAGTTCTCAGGGGCTACAAGGCAAGAACCCCACATCGGGCTGTACATTAGGATCACCAGGAAGCTTTGAAGCTATAGGTTCTGGGTTCTCCTTCACGCTTTGAGATTCGGTGTGTCAATGGGGATGCTGGCTGAAGAGTCAGTGTGATTCTGAGATGGTAGGTGGGCCCAGAGGTCCTCCCTCCAGGCCCTACAGTGTAGGGCACTTGCGTAGGGTTGAGTGGGTGAGAGAGGAAAGGGTAGGAGGGTTAAGGGGGAAGAGAGAAGCAGGAAGGGTCTGAAGAGCTTTGGTGTGTGTAGGAATTGGAAACTGCTTTACTGGAAGGAAATGGTGGTAGGCAACAGCAGGTATATGCAAAGCAGAGGCTTGTTTAGGGGCTCCTGGGGTGAAGCTAGGCAGAAGACATAAATGGTGTTGTCAGGTGCCCTTTCTGTTAGGAGCATGGGCGTACGAGCACACATGTGTTGGCCATGTCTGCATCCACAGCTTGGTGCTCCCTTGTGGTGCTCACTCTCTCAAGGCAGGACTGCCTGGGGAGGATCTATAGCCACAGGACCCACCTCCTGCCGCTCTGCCTCATCCTACTGCTTTGATGTTCTCTCTCTCCGTGATGTTATTCTAGCTGTAAGATCTAAATCACAACAGGAACAGGCTGAGTCAGCCAGCTGAGATAACAGTGACACCCACACTTAGGTTTGGTTAGCAAGCTATTTCCCCCTTGCTCCACATGCATTTCTGTTCAACCTCTGGACTTGTTATGAGTGGAGGACTGCTCTCTCTGTTTTCCAGACAGAAGGTTTTGAGAAACGAGGAGCAAAGCTACATGCTCAAGATGGCCCTGATATTAAGGTCCCCATCCCTTGAGATTCCTTTCCCACGGGTCACACTGCCATGAGACCTGGGATAGGAGAAAGTGGGGCAGAACCCAGGGCCTTGTTTCCATGGTCAGACCCTTGACACCAGATCTAGCTTTGCTCTAGAGCACCGTCCCACCCTCCCATACCCTCCACTGTGGCTCCCCTAGTCTTTTTCTTTAAATGCTTAGTGCCTGTTCCATCCTGGTGGTGCTCAAGAAACTCCATTTGGGGCCCAGAGAGGAGAGTCACTGGGTTAGTGTGAGGCACAGGGGGTTCCTACACCAGTTGAAAACAGGTCTCTCACCATCCCTAGTCAGGGCCTGGTTCATGCCTGTTTATTCTGTGGAGACCCAGATGGTCTGGCTTTCCTGGAGTTCAGCTCTCTCCTTTTCCCTTTGTAGGTGTGGATGGACGCAGGCACCCAGATCTTCTTCTCCTTCGCCATCTGTCTAGGGTGCCTCACAGCTCTGGGCAGCTACAACAGATATCACAACAACTGCTACAGGTGACTGGGGAAGTGGGCCTGAGCTCCTTTCCTGTACTTCTCCTGCCCCTCCAGCCATGCTAGACCAGAGTGAGCTGTACCAGCCCATGTACCTGCCCCACCTGACCTTCACCTCCCAATACCTTAGAGTTACTAGGAGGTTAAAGGAGCAGTATGGGCACAGGGATTGCTTCTGAAAAAGTGGAATAGTCGTGGTTGGCTGGGAGACCACAGGAGGCACCCAGCCCCTGCTGGCTAATTTAGAGTTCCTGGGCTCAGGAGTGCTAGGCAAGCATGCCTGAGAAGTAATGATGAGCTTAATGAGAATAATGTTATGCGGTGGTGGCTGAGCCTTGCGAACTCTGCTCCAGCTAACCTTAAATCCTTACCCTTTTGCACACCTCCCATAGGGCCCTCTTCAGTTTATGTCACCTCCTCAGTGTTCCCTCCTGTCTGCCTGATTCATGCTATATATGTAAGCATACATGAATAAATTTTTTTAGAGATGTTCTCACTTTGTAGCCCAGGCTGGCCTTGAACTCCTGATCCTCCTGCCTCAGCGTCCCAAGCATTAGGACTACACTCATGCACCACAATCTCCATCTTAAGCCAAAAAAAAAAAAAAAAATCCTATTGTACATTTCAAAATTGAATTTAGGTTCAATTATTTGAATTATTTGTTGTTTGGGATTATCCACCTCCACGCCAGTGAGGTCAGTGAAGTAGTGTCCCCAGAAGTGTGATAGCAAGATGGCAGGGAGGGGAGGCTGCTTAACAGCGGATAATGTTTCAGTTAGTGTTTTACTTCCTTTAAGCCTCATTCTTTCAGGAGCACCTTGATCTATTCCATGACTGAACTAGTGGAGGGTGAGGAGAGGAGGAGAACACTTTGAACAGTCATCTGATTTCTGCCAGGGAACTCTGCTTCTGGCCTTTGTGAAGGGGCCGTGCTCCCCTGGGGTGCCCGAGCTCTTGGCAGCTCCCTTCTGACCAGGTCTGTTGTCTCCTTCTCCCATCTGTGCCCTACAGGGACTGCATTGCACTCTGCTTCCTCAATAGTGGCACCAGCTTTGTGGCTGGGTTTGCCATCTTCTCCATCCTGGGCTTCATGTCTCAGGAGCAAGGGGTGCCCATTTCTGAGGTTGCTGAGTCAGGTGAGTGCTGACAGGAAGGGCAGGGGGTAGTGGGTTCTGTGAGCCGGGTTTGTACCCTTGGCTGCCAGGATCAGAGGTGATGCTCAAAAAGTTTCAGACTGTGGAACATTTTAGATTTTCAGATTAGGGAAGTTCAACTAGTAAAGTCTACAAATATTCCCAAATCGGAAAACCTCCCAAACATTTTGAATAAGGGAGACTCGACCTGTGTATGCCAAGCACTTTCAAAGGAAGCTGAGAACTTTTATCTATTTGAGAGGATGTGCGTCTAACAGTCACGCCAGTTCACTCATTGTAGGGTAACAGACAAGATTTTTGGGCATAGACCTAGGAGACTGGAGGTGCCAGACCAGATCTGGCCCTAGCAGTGTTATCTTTGATGCCATCTATTTTGTAAACACAGAACACGATTGCCCTCAGCTGGGCAATTGCTCCCCTTCTCATCAGGCCCTACCACTTCCTTTTGTTTTACTCTGGGTCAGCATCACAGATTTGTTTTGCCTGCTGGCTCCTGAGCTCATTCTAAGTTTGAAACTGCTAGTTTGGGGTAACAGATCTGAGCCCCAAACCCTTTACATCCAAAGTCATTTATACCTCAGATCTCTAGGTGCTGTTCTTGCCTTAGAAACTTGGGGACCAAGTAGAGTTTGGCTGGCTTGTTTTGGGTCAGGATGGTGGTGGTGATGGTAACTTTGGGGTGAAGTTTCTTTCATCTCTGTTATTCCACGGCCCATCCTGAGAGGCCCTGGGATCACAGAGCCCTGGGCTGTGTTGCTCTGGCCCCCATAGGCCCTGGCCTGGCTTTCATCGCCTACCCACGGGCTGTGGTGATGCTGCCCTTCTCACCTCTATGGGCCTGCTGTTTCTTCTTCATGGTGGTCCTCCTGGGACTCGATAGCCAGGTACCAAGAGGTGGCCATCAAACCCTGAGGGATGAGTGGGTTGGGGGCTGGGGTCAGGGAGCAGAGGGCATGAGGTTGAGCTTTACGCCCCAAGAGACCTTAAACTAGCTGGAGACTGGGTGACTTGTTAGAAGTAGATGCCCTTCTGGGGACCCAGAGGAGCTTTCAGGATCCAGAGCTAACCATGGGAGCATAGCAGCTCTGGGAGCTGGAGAGGAGAGCTGGCAGGTCAATCCTGGAAGCAAGAAGCTAAGCATCGGACAGGGCTCATTGTGGGAGCTCTCCTTCCCTCCATTTCTTTTGCCCTCTCATCCAGTTTGTGTGCGTAGAAAGCCTGGTGACGGCGCTGGTGGACATGTACCCCGGGCTGTTCCGCAAAAAGAACCGGAGGGAGATCCTCATCCTTGCAGTGTCTGTCATCTCCTTCCTTGTTGGGCTGGTCATGCTCACAGAGGTGAGGGTCCAGGAGACTGGAAGGGGGGACCCGATGAGGAGGAGGAGCCATGCAGAGCATGCTGCCATGGATCCAGGCCACAGGGCAGGCATTCCAGCTTTGGGGTGCCAGGACTCCCTGTTCATTCCCCAACAGAGAGGAAGGGTGAAGGGTAATTTGGTTCCATAGTAAGTGAAGATTATGAAAAGGATGGGTGAGAAGACTTGGAGTGGGAAAAGCTGTCTCTCTAGCAAGATCTCACGGTTTCCCAGGCACAGCCTCAAAGAGAGAAAGGGACCTGGAGACAGGTGGCGTGCTGTGTGATGTCTCAAGGGAGAAGGGCAACGGAGCTTGTCAGCACGACAGTACCAATGACAGTGTCCCAGTCCTTCCTCAAAGGAGTACACCCTACGACTGGGTCAATTCCTAAATCTTCTCGGGCAATCTAATAGCTGTCTGATTTCATCTATCTTCCATCCAAAAACAATAATGAAAAAGTTATTGTCTCTGTCTGACCAGTGCTGTATGGCTTACCAACCACATTCTCTTATATTTCCTGTCCCACTGTGACCCTCACCAACTCTGCTCTGTGACCCAAAGGTGTGAGACTGGGGACATGAGACTAAATTACCCGTTTCCTCTGGATAATCTCCTCTCATGCAGGGCGGCATGTACGTGTTTCAGCTCTTTGACTACTACGCAGCCAGTGGCATGTGCCTCCTGTTTGTGGCCATCTTTGAGTCCCTCTGTGTGGCTTGGGTTTATGGTGAGTGAGTGGCTTCTCCCCTAGATCCAGACCCCAGTACTCTCCTCCACCCCAGGGCCCTCAAAAAGGAGACATCTGCAGCTCACATCCATCTGTTCTTGGACTCCACCCCACCCAATTCAAAAAATCTGGAGACCCCTCAGTGGCTACCATTGAAAGGACCCTCCAGAAATTGTCTTGCCTGCCCACTCGTAATGGCTGCTTCTAGACCACCTCAGGTGGGCCCACATCCTGTCCTATCCAAACCTTTCCAGCTTTTAATAACCTTTCGAATCAGAAAGTTATTGCTTCTCTCTACATCAAGTTCTACCTGCTTCTGCTTATTCATTATACCAATGAATCCTAGAAAAGAGCCTTTCTCCAAGCAGTGATTTGAAGGCAACCATGATGTTCTAGGCTGTGTGGCCCCCATCCTGATGCTTCACATGCTAAAAAATGTCCTTTCTTCCCTTTCCTTCTTCTCTTCAGGAGCCAGGCGCTTCTACGACAACATTGAAGACATGATTGGGTACAGGCCATGGCCTCTGATCAAATATTGTTGGCTCTTTTTCACACCAGCTGTGTGCATGGTAAGGAAGCCCTCGAGGGGTAAAGCCAGATGGAGGGAGCCAGATAGATGGCAGTGGGTGCAGAGTGGTAGTTGTTAGCTCTAGAGTGGACTTCTCCCCAGGAGTTGAAAATCATCTTAGATTTTCACTCACCCTTTCCTGGAAAACTACAGCAAGACAGTCTTCTTTTCCAATTCACAGAGGGATAAACTGAGGTCCAGAGGGGTCAGACAGTTTGACTTAATAGCACAGCGAGTCTGATGTCCTAGGCAGGACAGACACCCAGTGTTGGGTGCTCAGAACAATGCTGATCCCTGTGGCAGTCATAACAGTGACAGTTATGGAGTGTCTAATTTGTGCCAGCACAAAATGCTTTACATGTATCGACCTGTTTCACCCTCACTAATATGGGCAAGTGTTACCAAGATACTCATTTTACAGAGGAAAAAAGCTCAAAACGTGAAGTGACTAACCCAGGAAACCTGACTCCAGTTTGACTCTTCACCATGATGTGCTGCTTCCTTTGGCTTTATCTGTTCAAGTTAGCACTTCCCCCAAACCCCCACTATGTGCAGGATATAAGTGGGAAAGGGCAAAGGTAGGCATTAGCAATACTTGAAGGTACTAAACTCACAAACTCCTGGTGCAGGAAATGTGAACACCGTAAAGCCCCCAGCAGGCATAGGATCCTGTCCCAACTGGGAGCCAACCATAAGTAGAGGTGGCAGGAATTTGGGGACCCCACAGTGACAAGGGGTTGTGCCCTGGAGATATACTACTGGGGAGTGTGGGTTTTCAGCAGAATGAGGTGGAGCATGGAGGCTGACTAGCTTGATAAACCAGAGGCACATCCAGCTCAGAGTGCAAGTCCTACCTGGCAGCTGTGGGGTGAAGGTGGCCTGCCCCTAACCTCTTTCTCTTCTGCTCTCACCCCCAGGCCACCTTTCTGTTCTCCTTAATCAAGTATACTCCTCTGACCTACAATAAGAAGTATACCTACCCATGGTGGGGCGATGCCCTGGGCTGGCTCCTGGCTTTGTCCTCCATGGTCTGCATTCCTGCCTGGAGCTTCTACAAGCTCAGCACCCTCAAGGGCCCCCTCAAAGAGGTAGGAGGGAAATCAGGCAGAGGGGTAGGAGTCTTATTGGATGAGGTAGGCCTCTGGATGACAGGTGGTCTGTCTGCCATGGTAGGAACTGGTGTACAGGGGGGCCAGTGAGCCTGACCTGGGTATCAAGGAGGGACAGATTAGGTGCTTGGAAGTTTCAGAAAGGAACAAGACCCAGGTGTGGCTATAGGGCTGGCAGCTGGAGGCAGGTTTGTGTATGGGGAGGCAGGCAGACACTGGCAATGAGGGATGCTGGCAGACAGCCCTCACTCTGTCACATGACAGACACCTCCACTGTCCTTGCAGAGAATCGGCCAGCTCCTGTGCCCAGCTGAGGACCTGCCTCAACGGAACCAAGCAGAAACCCACACTCCTGCCACGCCCAGGACATCCCTTCTCAGACTCACAGAACTGGAGTCTCACTGCTAGAGGAGGGCAGGCCCTTGCATGATGTCTGTTTGCCTGGCCGTGGGGACAGCTGTAGGGATAGAGGCCAGAAGCAGCCCTCTATACTTTCTGCCCCCCATCTGTGGCAGATAAGACAAAGGGGGATATTTTGGAACCCACTTTCTGAGATGGGGGCCTCCTGGCACAACTGCCTTGCCCCAGGGGTGGTCCCACCAGTGTGACATACCAGCACCAAGAGTACCCCTTTGAGATGGCTTGGGAAGTGGGTGAGGGTTGGTGGGAGTACGTGTGGCTGGCTGCTGGGCTCTTCCACTCCCCATGCCATTAAATCCGTCTTCTTCCCATGACCGCTTGCAATTCAGTCTGGTTTCTGCCCTCTGCCTTGTGCCTTGGCCACCTCCTTACTTTAAAGGTGTGGCTGCAGGGACCCTGCCTCCTCCCACCTTGCCTTCCTTCAGTGAGTTCTCCTTGTGGACCGTGTGGCAGAGGTGACTGCTGTGGCCTAAAGGTGACAGGGCCAGGCTGTCTTCTATCATCAGACACTTGGACTGGAGGCTGTCACATCTCTCTCTGCGCTCCCCACAGAGTTCCTTCCCTCCTCCTCTGCTCTGTGGAATGAGAAAAGAGGTGAAGGAGACCCGAGCCCTAGTTGCAAGAAGGAGGAGGTTAAACCGGTTGCAGCTTCCTCGCACCCGCACTTCCCTTGCTGGGTCCTTGTTTGCCCTGCATGCCAACATTGTATCTGTGTGTGTCCACCCAAGGCCTGGTGCTGAGGCGTGAGAGGGCTGCCAGCCTTGCCTTTGTAGGCCCCAGTGGAAGTGGAGAGCCTTGTCAGAGGCGGCCATTACCCCAACTCTGCCAGTGGAGGGACCTTGCTGCTCCAGGGTGACCTTGTTCTTACGCTAGCAGGACAATGCTGGGTGCTGTCACCACCAGATATGGCCACCAGGGGGTGGCACTGCCATGATCTTAGTTCTACAGTCAGGGCCTGACCTGCAGAGATGAGCTGTTAGGGCTAGGTGGCAAAGAGGCCGGAGTGGAAGGCAAAGGCAGGCCTACCTATGAGTCAGTAGCATGGCCCATGGCCCCAGTGGCTCCCACGGGCATGTGTCTGCAGCCTTCCCTCTGAGTGGGTGGTGTGCGTTGGTGGAAGTGGCTGAATACATACAGTTGCATTTCTCCCTGGGGTCAGCTTAGGGTCTTCCTGTCCCCACCTCTCATCAGCTGGTATGATTCAGGCGAGTGTCCTGTGACTCAGAGCTGCCATCTAAGGGAGCACAGGGCTCCCTGGGTGGTTTGCTCAGCTTTTTACATGTCAGCTTGGGAGCGCATATACTAAAATCTTGGCCAGTCTTCAAGTTTTGATTTCTTGTTGTCGGAAGAGTTTATGAAATTTAATTTTTTAACAATACCCTCCTTTGCATTGGCTGTGGATGGACATCCCTCAGTTGTGCCAGGCTCAGTCACAGACTTCTGTTGGAGAAATAAATCTGCAGGAGTAACATGCAAAAACTCGAGATACCACGTCCTTGGCACCTCCATCCATCCGACAACAATTCTAGAACACCCTGCAGGGCTGTGCTAGGCCCATCATCATGATGGGCAAACCAGACACAATTTCTTAAACAGACTGTGGCAAATGCTATGGGGGAAGTGATCAAAGTGCTGTGAGAAGGCACAACTGGGGCGTGTGAAGGAGCCTGATGGTTTGGTGCAGGTGGCCAAGTAGGCCATTCTCAGACCTGGTATCTGTCTCTATCCACCCATTTGGTCAAAGTTCCAAGAATCTGCTGAGCCCAGGAAGGTCTGTAGACAGCTCAGTGATGGAGAGTTGAGTCCTGTTTAGGAGATTTACAAATGGTGGGGTATAGAGTGAAAATCACCCATTTGTGCACAGGAAGCAGTGAACTGGTTCTGTCTTGACTTGTGTCTGACTTGCAGCATATTTTTGTGGCAGCACCTTGGAATTCATGCTCATTTTTCAGATGGGTTAACACCATGCACCAAACCCACACAGGTTTGCTGTAGAGCGCAAATGTGGTTATGGCTGTGAGAGCTTCTTCAGTCTATTTGGGGGATGGTGAAGGGGAGATGCTCTTAACATCCAGGTGGGACTGATGAGCAAAGATGTAAGAAATGCTGCTGATTTGGGTCAGGACTTGGAGCAGCAGGTCTTGGCCTTGGCTTTGGCCAAGGGTGGGGAAGAGGATTTGGGTGGGGGGGTTGGGGGGCAAAGACTGTTTCAGTCCCATCTGCTTTTCCTGCCTGGAAGGGTAGAGACTGGATCCCTCAGTTCCCAGAGGAAGAAAGCACAACAGGAAGGGGAGCCCCATCATGACCAGAGGCCACACCTGTTAGAGAAGAAAGACAGGTGACAGTTGAGTGTAGAGGGAAGCACGTAGCTGCAGAGTTTTGAGAAGCTTCCTATGGCAGTAGGAAGCACTCAGCAGGCACTGAGCCCACCAGGCCACCTCGAGAGCTCAGACTTTGTACACCAGGTACAGCATGTCCCAGACTCATACATGTGCTCAAGGTCCCTCACTATCCTCAGACAAATGTGCACATGTGCAGCAGTTCAGAGATCCTGCTGTCAGCCAAGCACACTTTTTTGTTTTTGTGGTACTGGGACTTGAACTCAGGGCCTATACCTTGAGCCATTCAACCAGCTTTTTATTTATTTATTTATTTTATTTATTTATTTTTATTGTTTTATTATTCATATATGCATACAAGGCTTGGGTCATTTCTCCCCCCTGCCCCCACCCCCTCCCTTACCACCCACTCCGCCCCTCCTTCCCTCTCCCCCCCACCCCCTCAATACCCGGCAGAAACTATTTTGCCCTTATCTCTAATTTTGTTGAAGAGAGAGTATAAGCAATAATAGGAAGGAACTCAACCAGCTTTTTTTTTTTTTTTTTTCTTTTGTGAAGGGTTGTTTTTCAAGATGGGGTCTCATGAACTATTTGTCGGGCCTGGCTTTGAACCATGATCCTCCATGATCCTGCCTTCTAAGTAGCTAGGATTATAGATGGGAGCCATCAGTACCCAGCCCAGGCACACTTCTTTACAGAGGCTTGCAGTCCTGGCTTGGATCTTGGTCCTCAAACTTACTCTGAAGCCCTCATACCTGCTGAGGTGGCACTGTATTAAGTGCTAGGGGCAGAAACAAAGAATTAGGGAATGAGACTACTGCCCTTTAGATGTTCATGGCCTGGGAAACAGTATACTGTAGTGGAATATATCTGCATAGATTTTTTTTTTTTTTTGAACCAAGAGGCCCAGGTTCAAATCCTAGCTCCATTATTTGCTAGTGCATGGTCTTGGAACAAAACACTTTGCTTCTATTCCCTCCTGTGTTCTCATCTGTACAATGAGGCTAATAATGCCACATTTCAAGGCTCCTAAGGAGTTACATGAAGTGACATGTAAAGCAGTTAGCCTGAGTTAGGTGCTTAGGAAATGGATTCCATTTCAGTTCCTCTAAAAGGAGATAGTGGTGGTGAGCACATCCTGTGGGGTCTAATGGTTCTTCATTCGATCGTATTTCATATCAGCTCTGGACCCTTCCTAATATGGAAATAGCCCAGACTTTCCAAGCTTCCTCCCTTTTGCAAAGACAGGGTCTCTAGTTCCCTGAGTTTTCCAGTTGGTCTGAATACCCAGCAGGCAGTGGGGGATGCAGGAATTGGGGTGGGCTTGAATAAGGGAGGGCTCAAAGTTCAGATAGTGAGACTAAGGCCAGAAGCAGTTAAGAAAAGACAGGGAGAGATTAGGCAGCTCTTTTGGGGGAAAATCAAACTCCACTCCCTCAGAAGATGGGGAGGAAGAGAATCAGGCTGGGAAGAGGGTGAATTGGTGTTTTATTCTTGGGTAGCCTCAACCAGGCTGGTGTCTGGTGTCTCCTCTGTCATAAGCTCAATGGTCACTGTATGGTAGATCCAACATGCAGGGACAGGGCAAACACAGCCATGAAGATTGACCAGGATAGCAGAAGGGGTAACAAGAGTAGATTCTGCTGAGCCATGTCCTCCCCGACCAGAGCCAATCCTCAGCCTGGCTTCTGGGTTCACAGAGGTAAAGTCTCAAGAATTGAGACTCACTCTGGCTTTCCTTGATGGGGAACCCCACAGGAGAGGCTGAAAGGGGCCCAAGAGACAGCAAGTGAGGGAGCTTGGTGGAAAATTACAGCCTGCGATTCTCACTTCACACCCCTGTGCTGCTGGGACGTTCTAAAACACAAAGAGGAAGCACATGTAAAGGGAAATTTCCCTTTCTCCCACAACTTCCCCTCTTATGGGCTTTTCTGAATGAAGGACCAGGGGACGGTCCTGCGTCCACTATCATGAAGGCATGCTTAGAAGCAGTGAGGAGAGGGGACCCCGTTCTGGAGAAGCCCACTGGGCATGTGGTGTGAGGTACACACATTTAAACATGCCAGGCTGTTCCAGACAAATCCTAGTTGTGTGCCTCTGTGCTGAGAGATGACCAGGGTATCATTAGTGTCACTTGGGACCAGACCTTCACAACCACAGCCCCGCTTCCAGAAGACTCACAAAAGATACCAGCAGCTCCCCTCGACTGCTGATTTCCAAGCACTTATCACATTGGCCTTAACTTTCATAGCAGCCCTGCAAAGCACATGCTACCTACTGTTTCAGAGTGGGAAACTAAGGCTCAGTCCTCACCTTGCTGAGCAGACGAGTTGTGGGAAGTCAGGGTGGGCTGTCTGAAATCCAGTCCTCTCTACCTGTGCTTCCTGAGAAGTGCAGCCTTCTCTAGGAAAATCCCAGGGAGAGGGTAGTGTCTGGGAAGGTCTAGGGCTCTGTCTGGAAGCCACAGAAGGCAGGTACTTGGTGGAAAACTCCAGTGTGTGATTCACCCTCCTCCCGTGCCCTCGTCAGTGAGGCCAACTCCCCTCCCAAGGTTCTCAGTATCCAGCCTGGGAGGTGGTGGTTCCTGTCCTACTGTTCTGGTAAGAGAAGGCTATACCTGGCCTGAGAAGGAGATGGTACTGGGGGAGGGGAAAAGGAAAAGAGAAGGGTAGGGGAGGTCAGACAGTGAGTGCCTGAGCCCCTTCCCCTGCCTAAGGGATCAGCTCAGCCCAGCTCATCTTGGGACAGTGCCCTCCAGAAGGGCACCAGTTAGGAAGGAGGGGGCTGCAGTGGGAGTGGGGTAGGGGTGGGGCACAGGGACAGAGGGTTGACTTCCTGAGGTTGGATGTTGTAATCCTGGTTCACAGACTTTTGGCCTCATTCTCTCCTGTTGCTTGTGGTGTTCCTCTGTCCCTTCACTTCCCAATACACACACGGAGAGTCGGAGTGGCTTTCTGTCTGGGACCAGGACCACATGGATGGGATTCTGCCCTGGGAGGAACAGGAGGACTGAAGGTGGAGACATTTCCCTTTCAGGTCCCAGCAGCTCTCTCTCAGCAAGCGGTGCTGCTTCCCTGGGGACTGACTGATGCAAGGAGCTGAGCTGACCGTGGGGGACTGAGGTGAGAAGGAAGTACAAAGTTGCCAAAGCCTTCAAAGTCTCTGCTTGCCCCAGTGGGGCTGAACGGCTGATACCTGGGAGGCAAGACTTGGTAGAACTGTGTGTGTCTGGGTGGGAAACAAGTGTGAGTCCTTTGGGAGCACAGAGAATGCTGGGACAATAGGTGCCCCCTCTGGAATGTCCCCTCCCCATCCACAGCACTGGGGTTCCTCCAGGACAAGCCTGTGTAGCAGAAGAATCCACAGATGGGGAGCTGGCCCTCTGCAGTGAGTGCCTGAAGGGGAAGGGGGTAGATAGTGCCAGAGAGGTGGGGAGGACAGCGGGTGAACAGGATCCATAATTAACCTGGCACAGGTGGTGGGCTCCTGCCTTTCCCTCTCAGCCAAGCTGGTAGCCGGAAGCTGAGTGTATCCCACAAGAAGGAAGCTGTACTGGCTGGGGGGTAGTGTATGTGTGTGGGGGTGTCTGGATCTGCTTGTGCCTGAGGAGGCAATGAGGGCACTGAGAGAAGGTGTGAGAAGCCACCAGCAGAGCCCAGCCACCCACTGGCTGTTAAGGACTACAGAGGAGTCAGGCTCTGGTGCCGTGCACACAGGTATGTGTGTGCAAAGGGACGTGACGGGGAATGGCACCAGTGTGTGTGTGTGGGCATGGCTCTTGGTATGTGGGTGTGGGTTGGAGGTGGGCTGGGACATTCCTAGGCTGGATTGGGAGTGCAGCTGGTGCCCAGTCAGCTCATGGAGAGCAGTACTTCTGGACGTGCCTACTCGAGTCTAGCTCCTGAAAACAGTTATCTTTGTACTTTCTAGTCTCTTGAAAGCTAGAGCCCAGTGTGTGCACTGGTATCTCTGCTTCTGGAGGGCAAAGGAGCATGGTGAGACCCAGTCCCTTCTCCCATCCCACCCCGGCTTGACAAAGCAGGGGGCAGCCTGAGGGAAATATGCTGGGCTGCAGAGGTCACAGAGCTGGGTGGACCCTGGGGAGGAGGTATCTCCAGAAGTCATCTTTGCTGTGAACAGTGCTGTCATTAAACCATTCCTAGCAAATGAGCCAGAGGGTGGGCACAAGGGATGTGCTGTGCTGTTGTTTTGGCTTCTTCCTTTGGCTTGCTTTCTCTCTCCTTCCTTCCTTCCTTCCTTCCTTCCTTCCTTCCTTCCTTCCTTCCTTCCTTCCTTCCTTCCTTCCTTCCTTTCTTTCTTTCAAGACAGGGTCTCATTATGTACTTCAGGCTGTATATTAAAGATCAAACTTATGATCCTCCTGCCTCAGCCTCCTGAATGCTGGGGATTACAAGTGTGCGTCATCACACCTGGCCTATTTGGCTTTTAAAAGTAACCAAAAAGGGAGAGCTCTGGACAACTTGTTATTGCTTAATGTCCTCCAGGACACTTCTTCCCTGAGTCTAACTTCAATCCCTCTTGCTGCAATTTCAGCCTCTTTTCCCTCGACTTACCGTGGCTTGGGGCCAGCTTTCTTTTTCACTTTTCTTGCTTCCATTCTGCCATTCCAGTTTTTCATTCTTACCCATCAGTCATGCTGCTCCTAACAGTCTTTATATTTAAAAAAAAAGAGCTGTGTCAGTGGCCATTCATCAGCTCATGTTCTCTTCTCTCTCCTCCCATCTTGATACAACCTAAATCCTGGGCCCAAACACTGTTCTGAGATTTCCTGACCTGATCCTGCTTTCCTCTGGTTTTCCTTTCATTTGTTCCTTCATTTACTCCTCTTTCTACCAGGTCTCCCTCCTCCAGGTGTTCAAAATACATTGATCTTGCAAGAGCTGCCTGTGGTCTGGGGACAGTAAGGCTTGTCTCCCGACTGCTACCTTGGGGACCCACATGCTTGGGGTTTGCCCTGACCCAGCTACCCTATTGCTTGGCAAGCAAAGACAATTTCTCCTCATCTTTCCCAGACCTCGTTGTTATCTTCCCACTCTTCCAATACCCCTGTTGAGCAGGGATCATTCTCTCTTCCAGGGAGATTCAAGGCTCAGAGAGGAGGTGTGATTTGCCTAAGGTCACACAGAAAGCCAAGACCCAGTGCCACCAATTATTGTCTTGGTAAGTTTATTTAGCTCTTCAAAAGTCAGTTTTACTGAGCACATGCTATGTGCTAGGCACCGTTTGCTAATCTTGAACCTTACTTCTTATATATAAAATGGAGCTAATAGTAGAAAAACCTGTGTGATCTGATAATGTACACAAAGATTTGTATGTTTTTTTAGCATAGTGCGTACTCAAATGTTAACCTTTTATTATGATTGTAATTAGTGAATTTGGATGAATTTGGGGTTCCTGTCTGATGTTTTTGTATTAGTGTTTGCAAGCTCATTCATTTATTCCTTCATTTATGTGGTAACGATTCAGGGGCCATTCCTCAGGATGCCCAGTTCCAATTATTCTGTCTGTATTCAGAACTGGCCAGGAGAGCACAACACAGCAACCCTAGGACCCTGTTCCCTGTTCTTTCACCAGAGGCTCTGGGCAAAGCCCCATGGGTCTGGCCTCTTACTTCTGTCCTGGAACTCCCTTCCCTTCCCTTCTTTCCCTCCTTCCTCCTTGTACCAGAGGCCCAAGGCCCTGCATTTCTACCGGGTAACTCTCTCCTCATCCTGCCTCTTGGACTAAGCTTGTGATAAAAACCTCTGAGTAGGTACCAATACCAGAATTTCACATTGATGGGCTTTCCCCTTCCTGGGATAACCTGTACCCTCCAAGTCACCTTCAAAAATTTCCATAACCTCAAATGGCTCCTGCCCACGCCTTTCTAACTGACTTGGGCTTGGGCTGTTGCCTGGGCTAAAAAGACCAACAAATAAACACAGACTCTTCCTTAATAAAAAAGACTCCCTTGTGTTTCCCTAGAACCTCGGAGGAACATGGAGCACTTGGTAGACCTGGTCACTTGATTTCCCCAACGCCCCTCAGAGGTGAGGGGCAGTGGGACGTGCTTCTCTCTACAGCTGGGCACCTCCTCCTGGCACTTCCCTGACAGGCCTCAGGCTGACCGTTTGTGGGGGTGGAGGGAGGAGAAGGTAAACACAGATTCCAGATGCAATTCATCTCCTGGCAATTGACAAACAGAAGAGAGGGACAGAAAATAGCACCAAGAGTGACGCATGTCACTCTCCTGGATGTCCAGGGAATGCTAGGTTCACTAGAAGGGTAGAGAGAAGGGGAGGGCAGGTTCTAAGCTCCTCTTAGACTTTTCTTAAAGGGAACCAGTCATTTAGTCATCTTGGGGTCACCTCAAGATGACCACTACCCAAGTGACAGTTGCTCAGGTGACCCCTTCTGGCATCAGGGCCCCCAATTTTTCTCAGGATAAAGATGCAACTGAGAGAAAAGTAACAGAATCCCTGGAAGGCCTACTTGACCCTGGTTCAGCTCCTAGTCCTCATCTAAACTTGTTCAGAGGCCCCCACCTTCTCGTTCCCTCCCAATCAGACACCCAGGCCTAGCTAGCACCCCATGTTTACCCTGAGTCGATCTATCTATTGATCACAACTGGCCAGGAGAGTACCATGCAGCCACCTCAGCCATGCCTGCCCTTTGACCCCATTACCCCTGTCAGCCTTTGATCCTTTCTGGCCTGAAGGCCAGAGGTTAGGCTAGTGTCACTCATGGAATAGTGAGAATCTGGGCAGAAGGGCCTGCTAGGCTGGTGACTGGCTACAAAGATCAAAAGGTATTTGAAACAAAAGGTCCCGAGCCTGGGTTTTAATCCTGGTCTTCTCCTGACTGGTCTTGGGCAAGTCACTTAATCTGTAAAGACCTGCTTTTCCCATCTGCAAAAATGTAATCTAAGATTTGCAGTGAAACTTTATGTGGAAATGCCATAGAATTTAAGAAGAAAAACAATATGACAGCAGCAAAATTGGGCTGGGTTGGGCAGGGACTGTCACAGGGGTTACAGTTCATTCCTTCTCCTCCCACCAATCTTTGCCTCCCTTGCCATCCCACCCTGCCCCACAGGGTCTTCCAATCCACTACATGGCTATGGAGAGCAAAGTAGCAGTCCACGAGGATGGGCCTCCTGTGGTCTCCTGGGTCCCTGAAGAGGGAGAGACGTTGAACAAGGAAGACGACGACCAGGTGAAGGATCGGGGCCAGTGGACCAACAAGATGGAGTTTGTGCTGTCAGTGGCCGGGGAGATCATTGGGCTGGGCAATGTCTGGAGGTTTCCCTATCTCTGCTACAAAAATGGAGGTGGTGAGTTCACTTTGAGGTAGGCATGGTGGGGAGAGCTCTGCCCTGTCAGCTGGGCAGAGCCTACCTTGACCCTTCCTTTCTGGGCAGAGTGGTAAAATGGAAGGAGGGCTGTCTGGAGCTGGAGGGCTCAGGTTGAGTTCCAACTCCATCTCTAGTCTCAGTGTCCCCTCTATGAAATGGGATGATACTCCCCCTAGGGCACAGTGACTCTTAAATGAGGCAACGGGCAGCAGCCAGGAATGTGGGTTCATCTTATACAGATGTCAATGGCTGACAAGACTCATTCATTCATTCGTTTGTTCGTTCATTTGTTCATTCATTCATTCAATTCATGTTATTGCAGGCCTAGCATGTGTCGGGCACTGTCCTAGATACAAAACAGAACTCTCCTGTGTGTTGTATTCTAACAAAGGGTGCAGATCACAGGCAAGAAACGTACGTGGTGTGTTGCACAGTGGTGAGCAAAGTCACCAGAAGGAAAGCAGGGAGAGGGAATAAAGCTGGATCACAGGACCAGGAAGGGTTTGAAGTGTGAAATAGATGACCAGGAAAGGTTTTGCTGAGAAGGTGACCTTTGAAGGATGCAAAGGAAGGAGTCTTAGGTATGGAGGAGAACATTCCCGATGGAGTGAACAGCAAGTGCAGAGGCCCTGGGGTGAAAGTGAAAGTAGCCTTTTGGGGAACAGATGGGAGACAGGAAGATAACAGGTTGAGCTCAGAGAGGAAACTGAGGCTGATCTTGTAGGTTCTGCTCCAAATGACATTGGAGCCACTGAAGAAGTTTTATTGGGAAATGATAGCTTATCTATGATTTTTTCTCAAATGAAAGAAACATAATTTTACAGTATTTTAGCACTGGTAATAAAAATTAGCAAGGTCGTGGTGAGGAAGGGCCAGAAATTATTTTTTAAGTATGCTATTTAATCATTTTTAATATATTCACAACATTGTACAACCATCACCACAATCAATTTTAGAATATTTTCCTCATTCCCAAAAGAAACCAGTGCCCACAAATAGTCACTCCTCATCCCTCTCCACCCCATGGAAAACACTGATCTGCTGCCTGCCTCTATGGATCTGCCTCTTGGGGATATTTCAAATAAATGGAATCTTTGCTATATAGTCCTTTGTAATCGGTCAGGTTCATTTTTGCCTCTTGAAATTACCTTTATTCTCCCTGTAGAAGTGATGTGTATTTATTATAAATATCAGAAATATTCCAGGAAGAGAAAAAGAAGAAATATCCATATTTAGAGATAACCATTGTTTAGAAAATCCTTTTAAATACTTTTTATATTTAATTTGACTAGTGGCTACTACATGTCTTGCTCTGATTTAGAACTTACAGTTATTATCACAAACTGTTTAAATTAATGACTCCAAAGAAAAAGAAATGGAGTTTCTTGGGTAGATGAGGGCTCTGGTGCTGAGATGGATGGGAGACTGACATTGGTTAGAGAAGGCAGGAAGGAGGCGTTACTTTTCTCTCCCAGGACCTAGTGTGATAGACAGACAGGATGCTGGAGCCAGAGCTCAGGGCTAGCCCTTACTTCACAGAGGAAGACTAGGAAAGTCCATGGAGCTAGTTAGATGCATGCAGTGACGTGGCTAACTCCTATCTCCCTGTATGCATCTCGCCCTGCCACCTGAAAGAAGAGAGCATGAGGTCAGAAGACAGGACCTCAGGCTCTGATGCCTGAGCCCAGGTCAGCTGTAATATGGGGAGGACCAAAGAAGGTGGCATTATGTCTGTATCACTTTAGCTCTTTTCCAACCAAACTACAGTGGGCCCTTTGTACCCATAGGTTTGGCATTTATGGATTCAGCCAACTGTGGTTCAAAATATATTTTTTAAAAAACTGTATTTATACTGAAAATGTAAAGGCTATTTTCCTTGTTATTATTCCCCCTACAATGCTACACAGCATTAGCATTGATTGTATTAGATGTCATAAATAGTGGATGTGCATAGGTAACATGCAAACACTGTGGTGTTTCTTTGAGGGACTTGAGGCAGGTTCTGGAACCAGTCTCCCACAGATACAGAGACTGTGCTTGGGAAAGACAGGCTACCACTTTTATACCTTTTTTTTCCCCTTATCTTTTTATGGAGTTTGAACTTAGGGCCTTGTGTTTGCTAGGCAGGAGAGGGACCAGTCACTTGGTCATCTTGAGATCATCTCAAGATGACCACCACCTGAGTGACGATTGCTCTGGTGATCCTTTCTGGCACAGGACCCCCATCTTTTCTCAGGTTAAAGATGCAACTGAGAGAAAAGCAATGGGTTCCCTTGAAGGACTGCACTTGATCCCGATGCCTACCCTAGTCCTCATGTAGCCTATTCACAGGCTACCCCTTGATCCATGTCCCCAGTCCTCTTTCCCTCATCTTTTAACAAGAGGGGCCTAAATGAAATCTGGAGTCACAGCCTGGGGTTACTGGCCTTGGAAGTCTAGGAAGGTAATAAAGAGACTATTTTCCTCATTTCAGACAAATGGATGTATAATGGATTTATATGGGTACACAATATCATAAACTAATCCAAATGTCATTTTTTTTCTCACTTTAGGCTTGATTTGTCCTGACTCACTGTGGTAATAGGATTTATCTCAAGCTGCCTATAAGCCCTGATTGGCAGTTACTTATAGTTTTTATTAATATACATAGGGAAATTTATTAGTTAATAAACACAGCTCTGTAGAGAAAAGTCTTTCAAAAAAGTAGACAAATAATAAGGTTATCTGTCTAATATCCCCTTTGGTTATGAAAAAGAGGGAAGCCACTAAACCAGATCGTATTTAAAGAAATGGTTCACCCCCAAAGAGAACTGCATGCGATTCTGATTGTTGACATTGTCAGTGCTTCAAGAAAGAGCACTTGGCTTGACTTAGAGAGAGGGAGGAGACTTTAAACTAATCCCAAGCTTCAAGTCATTGTTCTGCAAACCTCATCCCCATGGGACATCATCAGGCTGCTGGTGTCCATAGCCAGGGCAGACAATAGGAGAACTGTGGATCAGGTGAACCTCCCAGGCAAGGGTTTGACCAGTTAATTTGAGAGTGAGACATTTGTAGTGCCTGTGTTAGAAGCTCAGGGAGAAAGCTAAGGATGGAGGATGCCCCTGCAATCAATCCAGAACCAGCCTCCTCCCCTGCCTCTCAAAGGTCTAGGCCTGCTAGACAGAGCTTGAGGGAGGCTTAGCTCCAGGCCTCAGGAAGTCCCCCCTCTTCTGTCGCACAAAAGTCATATTCCAAGAATAGAACTGAATCCACCTCCTGTTTTAGAAGGAAGGATTTCGTACAGCTGGTGGGTCACTAGCCCCAGGGACATCCTGTGAAGTGACCTTGGGAGAGGCCCTTGAGCCCAGACCCCACAACCATCCTTGCATCTCAAGCCCAAGCCAGTGGTGTCTGTGGTGGCTTGCTTACTGGTTCTAGCGTCACTGTGGCTGGAAAGGCTTAAGAAGGACTCCAGGTTCTGTGGAGTTAGGGACTTGTGACTCCCAAGAGTCCAGAAGACACAACCCATCCTTTACTCTCTCTCTCTCTCACACACATACAAATATGGGGAGAACAAATATGGGGAGGCTGGCGTAAGTGTTTTGAAGGGCAATTTGAAAATGCATGTTAAAGACCTTATAAAACTGTGCATACTCCAAGGATGAGAAGAATCTAAATGTCACCTAGCAAGTGAATAGGTAAGAAAAATGTGGTAATGCATACAAGGGAACATTATTTTGCCTTTAAAAAGGAAATTCTGATCTATGCTATGACATGGGTGAATCTTGATGACATGCTAAATTAAATAAACCTGAGTCTGGTTTGAGTATATTTCTCTTTATGTGAGGGACCTAGATTAGACAATTTCATAAAGGCAGAGAGTAGAATCATGGCTGTCAGGGGCTGGAGAGGGAAGGGAACAAGGAGTTAGAGTTTAATGCATGGAGTTCCAGTTTGGGAAGATGAAAGAGTTCTGGAAATGGGTGGTGGAGGTTGCATAACGAATGTATTTAATGCTGTTGAACTCTATGCTTAAAGTGACTAGAATGGTTTATGTTGTATGCATTTTACCAAAGATACCTACAAACACAAAGTGAAGACACACATAAAGCAAAGCAGAAAATGGGGGGCATGCTTTTAGACTCAGCAAATTAGACAAGTGCACAAGAATGTGGCAGTGTTTCTAATGAAGCAACAAAAAGTTCTATGATAAGGCACTGGCAAAATACTCTAGGATTCTATACAGTGGACTATCATATAGCCTTTGAACTGATGATATACATATAAAGTTATTGATATGGAGAGCTTTTTGTTGTGAAAAAATAAAAGTATATGTGTGTGCTTATCAAAAGTCTAAGGGCCAGGTGTGGTGGTTCATGACTGTAATCCTAGCCAAGAGGTAGGCAGAGAGGGGAGGGTCAAGGTTTCAAGGCTAGCCTGAACTAGACCTTATGTGAAAATTAAACTAAATCAAAATGAGCTGAGGATGTGGCTTAAGTAGTAGACAACTTGTCTAGCAGTGCAAAGCCCTGTGTTCAATCTGAAGGAAGGAAGGGAGGGAGGGAAGGAGGAAGGCCTCAGAATCAGACTTGCTAGGTTGGTGTCTCGGTTTCCTCATTTGTGTCTCAATTTTTGCATGTTTAACCTGGCCTCTGTTTTCTCATCTGTACAATGGGGATGACCTAGTACCTACGGGAAGTTGTTTTGTGAGGGTTTTGATGATGGTGAAGCATTTAGAGGAAAGCCTGACATATAATAAACAGCAGATAAGTGTTAGGTGTCATCACTGGGCCATGAGCAAGAATCCACTCACCCCTAGATGAACCTCTGAGGTGAAGCCAGTGCCTTCATGACTCCTGATGGGTGGGCATTTGGGACTTTGGACTGTCTTCAATCCCATTGTATAATTTTCTGGCCATCTCTTAGGCTTGGCTTCCCTTTCGGTCTGTAAGTCAGCACCTCTCACAGAATGGTCTTTTTTGCTGGGAGCCCCGTGTAGATCAGAGCCTGGTAGAGGGGAAACCCTCTGGAAATTATAAGTAGGAAAAGAATGTTTCCAAGGTGTTTTTGTTTGTTTTTCTCTAAAATGTGCCAAACCTGATAGTTTAATAAATGTATCAAAGTATATAGAACACATATTTTTGTTCCAAAAATAATGCATTAACTAGATTTGTAAAGCACACTGAGAAAATAAATAGTGCATACATTAGGATTTCTACCTGGAGAGTCTTTCCTTTCCTTTCCTTTCAAAGTTCCTGCCCACCTCACACGGGTTCAAAACAGACTTTTTCTGCCCAACACCCCTGACAGCACACAGATAGGAAGAGGCCACCTTGGCCTTGGGAAGTATGAGGAGGCACCTTAGGAAGAAGGTGCTGGAGGATAGGACTCTGGGAGGGCTGAGGGCTGAGAGGAGCAAGTGTGACTTAGTCCCTGCCTCTCCTCTCCTCTGCAGGAGCCTTCTTCGTCCCCTACTTCATCTTCTTCTTCAGCTGTGGCATCCCAGTGTTCTTCCTGGAGGTGGCGTTGGGCCAATACACCAGCCAAGGCAGCGTCACAGCCTGGAGGAAGATCTGTCCCCTCTTCCAGGGTGAGTCTTCCCTCTGCCTACCTGCCCATGGGTTACCATCTTGCCTAAATTCTTCCATCACCCCTCCCCTTCTGTACCTGTTCACTGCCTCATTCTTCATCTACTCTTGCTTGTGCTAAGTGAACAATTAGGCTTTCTAGGACCCAGTCTTATAAGGCTTGGGGAAGAGGTCACATGTCAAGAAAAATACTACAAAATTACAAATGCCAAATTAGGTCCAGGACTTGGAAAGGGTCCTTAAGCCTTAATCTTCACTTTGTGGAAAGCATGTTTCTGAGTATATGCTGTGGTCCCAGACAGGCCCCCAAGCACAAAAATATGGGAATGATGATGATGATCATACCCCACATCTATTGAACTGCGTGTCAGGGCTCATGTAAGCACTGTACGTGTATTTTGTCATCCCATTGCTCTATGAACCTCATTTTGGTCCTTCCTTCCTTCCTTCCTTCTTTGTGATTTTGAATGAGGAAAATGGGCCAATTCACTGACGGTTTGAACTCAAGTCTACCTGAGCTTGGTCCTCTTAACTGTATGAGGGAAAGCTCCTGCTCCTCTCTCTGTGGATATGTAGCACTAATGTGAGAAAATGGGGTTTCTTTCCCCTGCCCCTTCATGGGGCCACATCCCCTGGGGGCAAGTGGTATGCGCAAGGCGTCTTGACCTTGAGAGGTTCCTTACACCTGTAAGATGCAGAGGACCCTTCTCCTTATGCCAGTGCTTAAGAGAGCCCAGGGTCTAGGCTACCTAGGCCCCCCCAGGCCAACGCCAAACCGAGTGGCTGGATGACATGAACACCCTAGCTCTTAGGCAGTTTGGCTCTCCCACAAATTGGAGGAGGTAATTGTGTCTCTTGGGGATCAGCTGACCTCCTGTAACATCCAGGGGACCCTTGGTAGGGGCAGCAGTGGGGGCTGGGCAGAGTAAGCTTGGTGTACATTTCTACTACATGTTCTGTCCGGGTGTTCGGGAGTTCCCTGAGATTCTGCTCTGGACTCAGCAGCAGCAGAAATGTCCCACCCAGCTGGGTCCTAACCACGGGTTGAAGCCAGCTCCTGCACAGCACAACTGGGCTGGCTTCTATGGAATACCTGGACTATCTTCTGGGGGTGCTGTGGACAGACACTAGATGGGGTGGGGAGGAGGCTGTTGTTCCCTCCTTTCCCAAGTTACAGAGCTCCCCAAGGCCCGAGTGCTCAGAAAGAGGTTCCTCACGGTGTGTACCCCTCTGTTGGGGTACTGCAGGCTCCACACCACCTGCTCTCTGCTGGCCTGGCTGTCCCCTTTGTTCCCAGCAAACTCTGTGCACACAGGACACAGGAAATGCAGTCTATGCTCACTGCACTCTCCCTTCTCAGTTCACACTCCACCAGCTCCTACAACCCCACCATCACCTCACTCCTGCCTTGCCCCTCCCTCCCAGCTGGCACCAGTAGAATAGCCCCCCATGCCCTGCCTATGGTGTTTACCAGGCTGCTCCCCACCCAGCCTGGACAGGTCACGCCCTTGGGAGCACAGCATATTCAGGCAGCAGCACAGTGGCTGCTTGTCTGTGTGTCTGTGTACTTGAGAGGGTGTCTGTGTGCTGTAAATACCCCAGGCCGAATGCCATGGGCAGTCCCCACACCTCCTCTTCTACAGTACCACGCCCTCACTGAAGACCCCTGGGCCACTACACAGGGAAACCTGTCCTTTGCAGTTCAGTCAGAAAAGATAATCAGAGAGGAGCTGCCTAGCACAGGAGCAGGAGCAGCCTTGTTCAGTCAGCCCTTTGGCTGGTGCATTGTTCCCAAACAGTACCCAGTCCTTCATTAAATAGCATCACCTAGGATGTAGCGTCTACTCTCTGGAGCTCAGTACAAAGAATGTCCAGGAAGGGGTGGAGAGGGGCAGGGCGGACTGCCTCCTGGCACATCTGGCAATATGCTGCTTTAAAAATGACTGAAAAGATTCTACCTTTGTAGCACCTGTTTCTGCCGAGGAGACCAAGGGATCCCCCCCACCTCCCAGAACCTGCATAAGTAGTGACCAAGCTTAGGAAAGAACACAGGTGCCTGCTTTCTGCCACGAGTGCCAGATCCCAGCTTCACAGGGGCCATGCTCTCTGCCCCCATCTTTCCTTCTCCTGCTCTTATTCGGAGATAGATTCTTACATGCTGTCCTTACTCCTTTGTTCATTCTGCCCCCTCTCATTTTATCAGCAATGCATGACTATAATAGAAAAATAGAAGACGCAGATAGGCAGAAAGAAAAATACCTGAAAAAGCGAGAACTGAAATCCTGTCCCTCAGAGAACTACTTGCTATGTTTTGGGTGAAGATCCTTCTGGGGTTTTCCTCATGAAGAAACACATACATTCAAATATGTATTTCAACAGTGGGGACATGCATAGAATGGGCCTTCTTTTCCTACTCAGGAAAAAGTACTGTGGAGCTAGGTGTGGTGGTACACATATGTAATCCCAGCACTTGGGAAGCTGAGGTAGGAGGATCACAAGTTCAAGACCAGCCTGGGCTACACAGTGAAACCCTATCTCAAAAAAAAAAAAAAAAAAAAACCCAAACAAACAAATAAAAAAAGAAAGGAAAAAAAAGAAGTGCTATGAATGGCTTTTCATGCCAACGAATAAACTCCAGTGATTTTCCTTGGGCAGCACCACCACTGGCAGCTTTTATGCAGTATATTTTTTTGCTAATGTTAATCTCTTGAAATCTTTTTGCTCCCCCACGCCCATCCCTGAAGGCATTGGTCTGGCGTCTGTGGTCATCGAGTCCTATTTGAACATCTACTATATCATTGTCCTTGCCTGGGCCCTTTTCTACCTCTTCAGCTCCTTCACCTCTGAGCTGCCCTGGACAACCTGCACCAATTCCTGGAACACAGGTATTCATGCATCAGACCCTGAGGTGGAGCCTGGCTCTCAAGGCTGGGCTGTGTGGCTGGTGATGGCCAAACAGTGTTGGAGCTCATGGCAGAAATTGCCTCAAAGCCAAGCCATGTGTCAGTTCTGCTGGCCAGCCCTTCTGTGGGACCCTGGAGCAGTGACTGGGTAAACCACTGTGGTTGTGAGAGCTCAGTGGGATTGTGTTATACAACTGCATTCCTTCATTTGATGTTTACTGGGCATCTACCATGTGCCAAACACTGTGTTAAGACCTAGCAAGGGCAGCTTAGACCCAGCCCTTACTGAGTTTGCTGTGGAGAGGCAGAAACAGACAAATGGACAAAACAAGCACAAATCATGATGAGTGAAGGAAAACAGTGGCTATAGAACAATGGGAGGGAGATGACGGATGAGAAAGCCCACTATGGGTGCCTCATTCCAAGTGGAGGAAGAGCAGCCCATAGACTTGGTCCCTTGTATGTAGGATGGAGACAGTGGATAGGTTGGGACTGCATGCGCCTGCAGTCTGGATTGTACTGGAGGTTGGCAGGGTGTCTGGATGAATGGCCAAACCTAGTGGGAGCAAGAGCAGTGAGTGTAGCCTGCATGACGGGGAGGGCCCCTCCCACATACCTCTTAGCAGCCCACCCGACCCTGTGGGAAGTGGGGGATCCAAGGGAAGTTCTTAGGCCTAGGAATGGCGGGGAAGCTCTGGTCACAAGGCCAGAGTGTCAGGAGGACCTCTCTCCCTATCTTAACTGATATGTACCACACCTTATCCCCAACAGAGCATTGTGTGGACTTTCTGAACCACTCAGGAGCCAGTGCAGTGACCCACTCTGAGAACTTCACCTCACCTGTCATGGAATTCTGGGAGTAAGTGCTGGGCCTGCTTGCCACATGCCAGGGGGCCCAAGCAGAGAAAGTGTGGACATCTGAGTGTCCAATGTGAATGTGGGGGTACAAGTTCAAGACTCTGGATGCTTTTTGCACTTCCCACATCCTGGTCCCCAGACCTACATCACTGAAATGAGGGAGCTCGTGCACACACACCTGCACTTGTCCACCTTCACTCTCATACTTACCAAAGCCCACATGGGTCCACCCACACTCACATTTTCCCATCCATTTCCATTTACATTCCCACCGTGTCCTCCTAAATCCTCACATCGAGCCCCAATCCACACTCCCTTAGGCCCACTATCACTTCCTCAGCATGCTGGAAGTAGCCTTCACTGCCTCAGGGGAGCTGACAGTATGTGTCTTTCTGAATTCTGTTTTCAGTGATGTCATGCTGGCAGCTTGACATCAGCCAAGGGAGTATTTACACCACAGAAATGGGCAAGCCCTATATATTCACCCATCCACCTTCCTACACGACTACCCACACCTCCACCTCCATATACCATCCATACACCATGCATGTCCACGTTCCTTCTCTCACAGGTCTACCTGCACCCTCACACTGACTCAACCCACATGTCCTCCCCAACATTCTCACCCACATCTACCCACACCCTCTCACAGGCACACCCTTGGTTGTCTAGAGCTTTCCCTATGCACATCCACATTTCTGTCACCCGCCCCCATCTTTAGATCCTGACATCTTCAACGCCGCCCTTTGATCCCATGTTCTTGATGACTGCCCTGCATCTATAAATGTCTACTCTCCATCACTCATTCCTACAGCCCTCACCCACATCATGAGCTCTCTTATGTTTCTGTACAGCAGAGAAATCTGGATGAGTTAGAACGACACAGACACCCTGGGGTTATGTTGATTTGGTACCCCAATAGCCAGGGATGTTCAGATCATAGGTGGGAGCATGGTATGGCCACAGGGAGGTGGGGCAGGGCTGGGGCGGAGGAAGTCCTGGGATATGAGATCTGTGGTCAGCTTTAAGAGTCAGGAGACTTGGTGACAAACACAAATTGTCCCCTTTGGCCTTTCACCTGGGTGTTTATTTTTCTCAATCCCTCAGGAGACGGGTTCTGGGCATCACCTCGGGCATCCACGAGCTGGGGGCCCTGCGCTGGGAGCTGGCCCTGTGTCTTCTATTTGCCTGGGTCGCTTGCTACTTCTGCATCTGGAAGGGGGTCAAGTCCACAGGCAAGGTGAGGTGTTCTGGCTTCTTGTGAGCTCTCTGTGGTGCCAGAGCTCAGGGGGACACTTGAAGGGGTTACTCTGGAAAGCTGGAAGAAAGTAGCTGAGAGTGATGCATGGTGAGATTAGGTGAAGTTGCGGGAAGGTAGGGGTTAGTTTAGCACAAGAAGGGAACTTCTTTGTCAGAAAACTTCGAAAGATCAGTTTACATCAGTAATAGAATAAAATAAAAGCCAGCAAAGTCCTGCTATTGGAGTGAATCAGTGTGGACCTGTTGATTTTTGATTTTTTTGCTTCCTCATTTCTTTATATGTTTGGAGGTGTGTATCCATAGGTGAGCTGCCAATCATTGAAGGGGCTCAAGCCAAGCCAAGAATGAGCAACAGTAAGCTTGTTCTATGGAGAGAATTCAGGTTCGAGCACCATTTCAACCTCACAACCCCAAGAGTGAGATTGAAGCTTCCTACTTATTTTTTGTTTTGTTTTATTTTTGGCTGTACTGGGGTTTGAAGTCAGGGCCTCATGCTTACTAGGCAAGTACTCTTACCACTTGAACCACACCTCAGACCTTTTGGCTTTTTGTTATTTTTCACATAGGTTCTCAAATTTTTGCCCAGACTTGACTGAACTGTGATCCTACCTATGGCTTCCCTATAGCCACCCCTCCCAGCTTACTGATTGAGATGGGGTCTTGCTAACGTTTTGCCTGGGCTGGCTTCAAACTGTGATTCTCCCGATTTCTACCTCTTGAGTAGCTGGGGTTACAGGCATGAACAACTGTGCCAAGCCTTGCTTCATGGTTTTAGAAGCCAGGACAAGTGCTGGGTGCTCTGATTAGCCCTATACTTAGGCTGATTTCCTTCTCTGGGTTGTTGTTAAAAAACAACAGTAAGAGTAAAGGTAAGAATGATAGTTGTTGTTGTATAGCAGTACAGATAAGTCTGCCACCTTGGCAAGGAGCTGAGCTTGATCAGGGCAGAGTGGAACACCCTTGGTGAGTCTCTAGGACTCAGATCTTCACTCTCCCTCAACCATAGGGCTGGAACGGTATGGTCTGAATCTCCCTGCAGATGGCTGCACAGATCTGGCCACCCTCTCCCTGGAACAGCAGTCCTACCCTCAGGGGACATGGGGACACCAGCCAGAATACGGGATGGAGGGAAAGCAGACTCTGGATTTTAAAAGTCTTTGAAAGGTTATGGGCTGGAAACTTGTACCTCTCCCCGTCCTCCCCTCCCCCCGGCCCTGCTGATGTGCATCTCACATGGCTGGGAGTAGGACCCACTGGAATGTGTAAAGGGAGGTGTGGAAAATTTCACGAGCTCACCCTCAGCTGTCTGTTTGAATCCAGCAGTGAGCTCAGTGTGATGGGTGATGCCTAGACCACTGTGGGAGATTCCCTGGCTCCTCCTGGCTGATGTATCCCTTCTAGGAGTGAACTTGACCTGCTTCTTCTCCAGGTTGTTTATTTTACTGCCACATTTCCCTACCTGATGCTCGTCATCCTGCTGATCCGAGGCGTCACCCTTCCTGGAGCCTACCAGGGCATAGTCTACTACCTCAAGCCAGATTTGCTCCGTCTCAAGGACCCCCAGGTGGGCACTGTGTGAGGACCACAGATCCAAATGTCTCCTATCCCAGACCTACCTTACTTTGGAAGAAAAATTAGATAACATGGAAGAAAACTGCAAAAGGAGTTCAAGTTTCATAATTCTGCCACTCAGATATCATTTCTGTTAGCATTTGAGTGTATTTCCTCCCAATCTTTTCTTTTCTTCCTATGTGGGGTGTGTGTGTGCATTTTAACGTAATTGAGATAACTATATTTAGAGAAACATGGATCTTTTTCCATTAAATTATATTATGAGTGTTTTCCATGCTATTAAATTCTTCCATAAATGTCATTTTAATATCTATATAACATCCTATCAATTATTTAATCATTTATTCAACAAAAATGTACTGAGGACCCATTAAATGCCAGGTACTGTTTAGTGGTGAGGAGAGGGCTATGGATGAATTAAACTATGTCCCTGTCCTCTTGGAGCTTTTACCCTGGCCTCAGACATTTAGGTGATGTCTGTTTTAGAATTCACAGGATTTCCTGGTATCACAGCAGCTCTTGGTATCAGAGGGGGGATTGCCCATGATGCCAAACCCATAGACTATCTGATCTCTGATAGCCTAGTCTAGCCTAAGTCAATACAAGGTTCTGAATTCAAACCCCAGTGCTGTCAAAAAAGGAAAAAAATAAACCCTACTTGACTTGACTTAATTAATTCACTATAAATGTTTTGGCTGGGAGTGGTGGCATGCACCTGTAATTCCGCTACTTGGGAGGCAGAGGTAGAAGAATCATGGTCAGAGGCCAGCCCCAGGCAATATCACAAAACTTTGAAAAGTAAACTAAAGCAAAAAGAGTTTGGGGCATGGCTCAAGTGGTAGAGCACTTGCTTAGCAAGTGTAAAGCCCTAAATTCAAACCCCACTAAAACCAAAACAAAAAATTAAAAACAGATAAATAAATAAAATGACATGGTATTTGTCTATAGCCCATGCACATCCTCTCGTGTACCTTACGTCATCACTAGATTACTTGTAATGCCACAATGTAGATGTTCTAGAAGCAGTTGTTATACTGTATTGTTTAGGGAACAATGACAAAGAATGAAGTCTGTATGTGTCAGCACAGGTGCAAGTTTCTTTCTGCATATTCTCCATCTGTGGGTTGGAAATATTGTATGCAAAGGGCTGACTTTTATTGGATTTAGAAAAAATGTATACTTTTACCCTTCTTCCCTCAGGGTCTCTGTGAGATTTGATTATAATTTATTTTAATCTTTGATAACTTCATAGACCCAAGAAGTATCATTTTATGGTTTCACTTAATTTTATTGTTTACGGCGGGGGAGAACATTCTCCCTCATATTTATTGGCCATTTGTATTTCCTCTTCCAGGATTTGCATAAGCACATTTTTGTCCTTCTCTCAAGAAGTTTTGGTGGCCTTCTTTATATTTTTATCAAGTGGCCTCTTTGCACCAGGTCACAGCTGCCTAAGGCACTATGTATATTTACTGGTTGAACAAATGCAATGACTCTTACTTAGCTCTGCCTTGCAGATAGGTCTCACCCACCGAGGGCACAGCTGGAAAATGGAGGTAACTTGAGTGCATTTAGTGCATCCTAAATGTCCACAGAATCAGACTGACCCTGTGCCCTGCCTGTGAGAAGGACACTGCGGAGAGAGGAGCTTGCTACTGGGGAGGGGGACATATAGAGTACACTCTCAGGGACACCGAGGGGTGGGATGGAGCTGTGATGAGGGCTGGGTTCTGCTTACCCTGGCTCTGGGCCCTGGCTGGCTCCCTTTAGTCCCCTCTACCACTTCCTTTGGGTCTCATGTAGGTGTGGATGGATGCCGGCACCCAGATCTTCTTCTCCTTTGCCATCTGCCAGGGGTGCCTGACAGCCCTGGGCAGCTACAACAAATATCACAACAACTGCTACAGGTGAGAACTGAATGGGGCAGGTGAGGGCAACCCCAGCCTCTCTGGAGGCTGAGGTGGGCCAGGGTCCTGGAGGTGGGCTCTGGGACCAAGACCCCCCATCCTGGGCCCAGTCCATAGCAAGTTGTGTCAAAAGGACACTGGATTCCTTTTCCAACTCACCTTCTTTCTCCCCCTCCTCCCCTTCTCACTCACTTTCCCTTCTCTTCCTTGAACTCCTGATGTTTGTCTTTCTGCTACCTTGTCTTTCTCCCCATTCTCTCTTTCTCTTTTCCATGCACTTGTCTTTTTCCTCTTTTTACTCTCCTGTCTTTTACTCTTTCCTCCCCGGATGAGTTCTTTTTCTCTTCTTCTCTCTTTTCCTCTCCATCTTTGTCTGCACTCACCAACTCCCACAGGGACTCCATCGCCCTCTGCTTCCTGAACAGTGCCACCAGTTTTGTGGCCGGATTTGTCGTCTTCTCCATTCTGGGCTTCATGTCCCAAGAGCAGGGGGTGCCCATTTCTGAAGTGGCTGAATCAGGTAGGTCTCTTACCCCCATGCTTTCTGGGACCCAAGGAGAAGAAGAATCAGAGAATGCAGACCCTTCCTTTAGAGATGCACCCAAAGCTGGGTGATAAGAGCCTTTTAGCCTCAGGAACACATAATGCTTGGCACAAAACAGAGCTTCCAGACCTGTGGGAGACAGGAGGGGAGTGGGCAAGTCAGTAGACTGACACTTGAATGTGTGTGTGAATGAATGAATGAATGAATGGCTTGCTCTCCAGGGAAGAACAAAATAATGGATGGACTCACCCTGCTCTTTTGAACCACCCCCCGCATGGCACACCCATGAGTACACCCAGTAGCACCAGACACACACAGACATAAATGAAGCTGGGGAGAGGAGAGAGCTCCTCTGCAGGCAGCCAAAGCCCTGGAGCTTACTCAGTTGTGCTATATGCCTGGCAGGTCCTGGGCTAGCCTTCATCGCCTTCCCCAAGGCTGTGACGATGATGCCCTTGTCCCAGCTGTGGTCCTGCCTTTTTTTTGTCATGCTCTTATTCCTAGGACTGGACAGCCAGGTATGGCACCCCTAGGGTCTTGCCCTACCCTGGGGACCCTCTTCCAGCTTCTGCTCCCTTGGCATTACTTTCCCCTCTCTCCTCTTCCGCTGGCCCTGCATTTGAGCCCTCCACTGTCCAGAACTTTTGCTTTGGGTTGGGTGGGTGGCCTAACCTCTGGTGTGAAGAGGCTATGGCTGTGTTTTCAAGGCTGAGCCTTCCTGCACATGGATGCTCTCCTAATGACCTTTCAGCCTTCTCCCTGTTGCTCAGCTCTCAAAGCCCAGTCCCAGCCCCCCAGCCTTAGGGGCAGATACCTCCCCACTTCCAACCTTCTCTGCTGGGACCCCTTGCAGTGGAGCTGCGTCTGAGGGCAGGGCTGCCTACCCTGTTTCTCCCTCTGTGCTCCTGTCTCCTGCATCAGTGTGGGCAAATGGGATGAGAGGAGGCCAGGCAGGTCAGCAGCCAATCTGTTCACCCCCTCGCCTGCTCTACCCCGGTTCCACAGTTTGTTTGTATGGAATGCCTGGTGACAGCCTCCGTAGATATGTTCCCCAGACAACTGCGCAAGACAGGGCGGCGTGAGTTGCTGATCCTCGCCATTGCGGTCCTGTGCTACCTGATGGGGCTTCTGCTGGTCACTCAGGTGAGGTGGAACTGGGGCAGGGGTGTTGCTGACCCATTTCATAGCTACACTTTCCTCATCTGCCTACTGGGGAGCAGCATCTGCCCTGCCTCCCTCACCGCAAGGCTATGGGGATCACCCAATAGCACCTACCTGGATTACTTAAGTCTCCTATGCTTATAGGTGGCAGAAACCAAATACAAGTTGGCTTAAACACACAGGAGAATTTACGGGGTTAGGCAACTACAAAGTCTACCTAGTTTGGTTTCAGACACAGGGGTCTAATGACTGTCAGGAATCTGGCTCCCCTTTCCCAGTAAGTTTGTTTCCAGAGAGGTTTTCCTCCTGTGAGATCAAGGAAAGCTATTGTCACTTCTGGCTCACCTTTTCCCTCCTGGCAAACCCCAGAGGAAAGAGGGTTTTCCTCTGAGTCTGTGGCAGGTGTCCAGGCTATAACCCTACAGGAGGAGGAGAGTGACAGCCCAACCCACAAGGAACAGAGAGAGGTCATTCCAGTTCCCAGAAGGTGGGCTACTGGTCAGACAAAGCAACATATGCCCACTACAGCTCCCCAGTGTCCTTGGGGGTATCAGAGATTATTGTCCTGATGTTGAAGGCAGTCTCTGATGACTGGGACAGGCAAGGAAAACTTCTAGTAGCTGCAAGAAGTGACTTCCCATGAGGGCAGGTTGGTACTCACACAGGTGTCTGTCACCTGGCAGGGGGCAGAACTTGTGTGTAGCCCACTGACCAAGTCTCAGTTCCCCCTCCTCCACAGGGTGGGATGTACGTCTTCCAGCTGTTTGACTACTATGCCTGCAGTGGCATCTGCCTGCTCTTCCTCTCTGTGTTTGAGGTGGTCTGCATTGGCTGGGTATACGGTGAGTAGGGGCTGGAGTGGCTGAGGAGGTGGGAGGAGAAGCCCTCAGGGCTCGGCAAGGATCGACTTGGATCAGGAGTCTTGGCATCGCTGTCCTTCTTTTTTCCAAGAATGTCAGCCATGGCCAGGAAACTTGGCATCTCTCATTAGGGCAGCTAGAGCCAGGGCAAGGACAGAATGGGCTTCCTTGAGTAGTCAGTGGAATGACGAATAACTACATGAAGAGGTCTCGAGGCAGAGGCTGCCCAAAGTCTATCACCAGTGGAGTCCCAGTCAGAGTGCCTCCTCCCAACTGCTTGGCCTGACCACCCCCCAAATTCCCTAGATGCCTTTCCAATGGCCAGGTTGCCACCTGGACTTTGCTTGAATACTTCTACAGACAGAAAGCTCATTCTTGTGTTTTCAAAAGCCATCCCGCCTCAATCATGAGGTCTTCCTTTTCAAACCTTGTTCTCACAGATGATCGGATAAACTCGATCACAGTGAAGTGTAGATGGATGATAAGCCTCAGTATGTCACTCCCTGCCAGCAATATCAGGCTTTTCACTTCTGTTTTCATTATTTAGAGGATACTTTATTAGTTTCTGTAATCAAACCCACGTAGATAAGATCTTTCATATTTAATATGTAATACACCTGTACAAATGGGAAAAAATTAAGTTCACCATTTCTGGTTTTTAATTCTGGCTTGTAGAAGTCAAAGCAGTGGCTCTTTAATAGTGGGATTTTGTGCATTGATGGTCAGGCCAGTGAAGGTGGGAAAATTGAGTGGCTTTTCATTTCTGGGAAGACTGGCTCTGCCTGACAGCAAACGTGAGACCTAAGGACAGAAATAAAGCCAGTTAGTGTTTCACTAAGTCCAAACTGACCTTCTAAACCATGCTTGCTGTGGGGCTCTGAGAGCTGGTTCCCCTGGTGTCTGGGATCCAGACCATGGTTCTGTTGCCAGTAGTTTTCCAGCCATCTGCATTTTGTGGGATATGCTTGAGCAGCAGAGCCCTTGCTGTGGTGTTGCTTTGTTTTAAGCCAAATTCCTCTCTGCTGGGCACATAAGAAGTGTTTGCATAGCTACTTGTTCCCTTTAAGGGTTCCTGGGGTCACGGCAGGGGTCTTTATCCTTAGAGAAGAAGAAGATTGAACCAACAGCTACTGCTCCTCTACTCTGTGACTGGATCACATCTCATTGTTCACTATACTCCAAGTTCCCATCTCAAGGTGGGCTGGGGGTAAATCTTCCCCAGCATCCACTAAGCTTTCTCACCCTCTGGTTCTCCCTCCCTCCCATTCTGCCTGGCCAGGAGCAGACCGTTTCTACGACAACATTGAGGACATGATTGGCTATCGGCCATGGCCCCTGGTGAAGATGTCCTGGCTCTTCCTGACTCCTGGACTTTGCCTGGTATGTCCCCACCCACTGCCCCTTCCTCTTTCCTGCCCCCAGAAGACTGAGGAGCTGAAGGGGGCACCTGCCTGGCCAGGGAGGCTGGTCTGTCCCCTCTAATGTTGGCCCAACCCTTCTCTGCTTCACCACCACTGCCATCTACTCTTGCTCCTGCTCCATCTCTGCCTCACAGCACCACCTGCTTCTGCCTTTCTTGATTTCTCACCTATTGGCTTCTTGCTCTCTGTTTACCTTGAGCTCCTCCACTGGCCTCCCTGCCACCATGCCTCTTTCTGCCTCAGTCCTTGTGAGTGAAGCCTTGGCTTTTACTGTGCCACCTCTGTCGTTGGCTGTTAAAGCAGCCAGGGAGGGGCTTCCAGTGATCTCTGTACCGTTGATCCTGCCCCTCCCCTTTCTAGGCCACTTTCCTCTTCTCCTTGAGCAAGTACACACCTCTCAAGTACAACAATGTCTACGTGTACCCTCCCTGGGGGTACTCCATTGGCTGGTTCTTGGCTTTCTCCTCCATGGCCTGTGTCCCACTCTTCATCGTCATCACCCTCCTACAGACCCAGGGTTCCTTTAAGAAGGTAGGTGTTTGGGGAGGTGACCAGGAGGGAGGGCTCTGAGGGATCTCCAGGTCTGGGATAGCCCTGTGGCCCTGTGGAATCTTAGAGGGAAGGAAGAGCCTTTGAAGACCAGCCCTGCGGCCTCACTTTCAGAAACATTCTTAGAAGCTTGAGTCCAGTCCTGTAGCATCTGATCTGTAGCAGATAACGTGGGCCAGTTAGCCAAGGGCAAACTGCACAAGGGTCAAGGGGAAAACAAATCACAAGCGAGAACCAAGAAAGCCAGGCACCAGTGGCTCATGTCTGTAATCCTAGCTATTCGGGATGCAGAGATCAAGAAGATTGTGGTTTGAAGTCAGCCTGGGCATGTAGTCCTCGAGACCGAATCTTAAAAATACCCAACACAAGAAAGGGCTGGCAGAGGGGCTCAACTGGTAGAGTGCCTACCTAACTAGCATGAGGCCCTGAGTTCAAACCCCAGTACCGCATCAAAAAAAAAAACCAAAAAACAAAACAAAAAAAAAACCTGGCAACAAACAAGAACTGAGAGAGGCCCAGGAACAGAAGGTTTAAAGAGCACGTATACCTTGTTCTCTGAAAACTAGTAACCACGGTTCACTCCACACACAGGCCCCTGGCTTCTTTTTATCCTAACTCTGCCTAGGCTCCTGGTGTGGTCTGGGATATGCCTTTCTAGAAGGGACTGTAGCCCATGACCCACAAAGGCAGTATATCTGCCAAAGTCTGACCTATCAGTAGTAGAAAACCCACCCTATGGTAGTTTAAGCACACAGGTTATCTGTTTCTCAGATATCAAGAAAGTTGAAGGTGGGGCTGGCTGGCATTTGGTCTGGCTGCTCAGAGGCGATTAGGGAGCAGACTCATCCTCTGTTCCTGCACTTCCATCTTAGCATGTTTCCATCATGCTCATCACTTCACAGTCACAAGAAGGAATCGTGATTTTAGTCATCACATCTGCATTCAAGCTAAGAAGTGGGGAGGGAATGGTACCAATAACAGCACACCAATAGTAATGGTGGTTCTAACAGCAGGAAAATAGTAGATACTATTGAACACATAACAATAGTAATGACATTAATATTGGTCACTTGCCCTGGGCCAGGCACTGTCCTATGAGATGTGTTCTGATACTGTCCTCATTTTACAGATGAGGAAATTGAGGGAATTCAGTGAGCAAAGGTGTTAGGTGAGTTGCCAAAGATTGTCCAGGTATTTAGTAGCAGAGCCAGAACTGGAATCCAGGAAGGTGACACTTTTTTGTGTGTGTGGTGAGAGGGGTCCTAGGATTTGAATTCAAGATTTCCCACTTGCTAGGCAGACTATCTACCTCTTGAGCCATGCCCCCAGCCCAGGCCACTCTCTTACTCACCCTCTTATTGCCTGGCTCTGTCTGGGCACTGGTGATGTCCCAGAGGAGCCACCTGCACCTTCTCCATAGAACCCACGCTCTGCCTCCCTCTCTGCAGCGCCTGCGACAGCTCGTCACGCCTGATCCCAGCCTGCCCCAGCCTGGGCCACACCCACACCTGGATGGGGGACCTAGCCAGAGCTGCAGGCCCTCCCCAGGGAAAGAAGGACTCGTTGCTCAGGAGAAGGAGACCCACTTGTAGACATTGGTGGAGCCAGGAAACTGGGTCAGGGCCACCTCCCTCAAGGGACAGTCTGCCTCCATCCACAGACCTCAGGAGTCCCTGGGCGCCCCACTGGGGACTGCACCTCTCCTCAGCCAGAGTAGCTTCTATGCCACCTCCCAGTCCTTCCCAACAGTACTGCCATCTGCTTCTAACCCACCCCCGACTTCACGAATAAGAAAACCAAAGACCAGGGAAGCAAAATGACTTTTTCAAGTTTGAATGGTTTCTCAGCGTCCGAGACCCAACTTGAACCTGGTGTCCTTGTGCTGGTGCCAGTGCCTCTCCTGTCATGCCCCTGCCTCAGTTAAAAAGCACGCATGGATCACCTGCCACCGTGCTGGTCTTTTTGCCTCATCTGTCTTCTCAGTCGCACTGTCTTGGGGTGGAAAGGAGGGAGGCCTCCCTCCCCTATGGAAGGGTGGGGCTCCTCCCGGACTGGTTCTCACTTTGGGGTTCCCTTGCCAGGCTGTTCCCACCCAACCAGATTTCCCCTTTGGGCCTTTGTTCTCTGCTTTTCACCTTCTCTCCCCAGCTTTGGGGTCTCCCACTGAGACAGGGGACATGGAGGGAGCTTTCCTTTGCTCTACACATGGCTCCCTTCCTTCCTGCCCCTTCTGCCCACTTCCCCATGCATTTCCTCCTTGCGCCTTGTGTTTCCTTCTCTCCCCCTGCCCCTACCAAGTCACACCAGCAATTTCTGTGGGAACTTCCTGGAGAAAGGCAGGGCACACTCCTGTGTTCAGAGGGAAAGGAAGGGAGGGAGAAGAGAGGGTTCAGGACAGTGTCAGGAAGCCCCTGGGGGAAGGATGCACGGATAGACCTCCCCCCAGAGCCACTGCCCATTGGCAGAGATAACTACCCACGGCCTGGCCAGGTGACTCCCATCCCTGACAACCCCCAGGACAACCTTAAAGTGTCTCCTACTTGAGAGGTGGAGTCTGTTGGCATGCTGGGCCTAGTTGCTGCCCCAGCTCCTGGCTCCTGGTAGCCCCCTTCTGCCTCCCTCTGCACCACTCTTTGCATGTGTGCACACTCTTGCACCAGCTAGCGGAGAAAGACAGAAGTCAAAGAGAAGGGTGCAGGGAAACTTAGCCAAATGGTCCGGTGCTCAGTTCAGGGTCTGGTGCTCAGTTCAGGGTCTGGAAGAAAACCCAGGTAGGATGGGCATGGTGATCACTGCTGCCCCCTGGTGGTAAAGGGGCTGGACCACATAAACCCTCTTTTCATACCATAAGCAGGACTGCCACCTCACCTGTGCCTTGCATGTGGGATTGCAGAGCTGCCAAGGGCAAACAGTTCTTTTCCTTGTAAAAGTCAAAGACTTCCCATGACGTTCCTCCATGCCCCAGTGGGAAGTGATGGTGGCAGACTCCTCTAGAGAGCCTCTGCTAAAGACTTGTGGGGAAGAGGGGAGTTGGAAGCTGGCCAGCCTTCCCAGCCACCTGCAGCTTCCCCAGACTGCTCTGTTCCATGAGCCTGGGCCCTGGAATGCAGTCTTCTGAGGCAGGCCTCTGGGCAGTTCTGCACATGGTGGGCCTGTGCTGTTTCCACCCTCACAGCCTCTCTGTCTTCAGACACCCATTGCTTGGCCCTTCTTCCCTTGCCCACCAAAGTTCACCACAGTCTAGCTGCCCCAGATCTCTGGCTTTAAGCCCATAGATAAGTCTCTGCCTGAGGTGGTAGGCATCTGCCTGGCCTCCCTCACTTTGCTTCCTCCACTCCTTGGGACCAGCTCAGTGGGAGTGGGGAGTCAGGCAAGGGGAAGTCAGACCAATGTCACAGCTCAATGAGCCCACTCAGAATGGGTCCACAATGCAGGCAAGGAGCTGCACTTTTACTCTTCAGAGTGCTCCAAAGCACTAGTATGGGTGTGTGGGCGTGTGTGTGTGTGTGTGTGTGTGTGTACAGAGCAAATGGGGTCTGTTTTTGTCTCATCTCTTGGGTGGTTTGAGTTTCAGATTGGTGACCAGAGGCCTAATCCAGCAGCTATGATTTATTCAGCCAGTATGGCATTAAAAAAATGTTTGTTAAGTGAATTCTTTAGGCTGTAGTCACCTTGTGACAGGTTCTACCACTCACTATATCATACCTGACCTCTTCTCACATTCATGTTTGAAAGCATTTGGATTCATAACCTGGGTGAGCCTTTGGGCAGGGGAACCCTGACTTGAGCAGGAGGGAAAGCAGAGGGCAATAGTCTCGGGACCCCCAGGACCTCAGAAGTGGAAGTCAATGAATGCCTTGTTCACGCGTGAACCTCTGTTCCATAGACCTGGTTGAGTCTTGGATCAAGTCCTCCCTTACTTCCCAGACTCTGCCCTTTCCCAGAGAAGGAGGGTGGCCCTTCTCTGGTCTTTTAGTTTCAAAGCCGGATTTGAAGGGTCAGACCATGGCAGCTGCCATGTGGCAGAGTGGCCTCTAGAGCTGAGCCTTCCATGCAGACACTCACATAAACCCAATAGAGAGGCTGGAGGGTACCAAGGCCTCCTGTCAGTGGACGTCACCAACCTGTGGGCCAGGTAAATGAGCCACTGTGGAAGTGGATCCTCCAGCCCAGGCAAGCCTGCGGGCAACCAGTCCTGGCTGACATGCAACCTACAGGCTCACAAGCACCTAGCCAATGGGCCCCAAATGCCTGAATCATGGTGAGGAATAAGAAATGTGTATTGTGGGTTTTAATCTGCTAACTTTTGGAGGAATTTTTTAAGCAGCAGTAGATAAACAATACCAGCCCTCAGCTTCAAAAGAGAGTCAGGAATGGCCTGTCACCAGAGGAACCGGGAGGAGGGACAACCCCTGCTTTTCTTCCTGTCCAAGCCCTTTGCCTCTCTCCTTGTCTTCACCTCCTCTGGCCCTCCAGGTTCCTCTCTGACTTCCTGTTCCTGCTTTGAGGCAGATGGGGACTGATTGCCTCTGTCCCTGCTGCCCTGTGTCCTCACACGCCCAGCTCCCTTGTGACCAAGCCCATATAGCTTCCCTGTAGGTTCAGCTGCTCAGTGAAGTAACAGGGCTGATTGGATCTGACAGGGATGGAAAGCTTTTTAACCACTCATCAATACAGAGGTGGAGGAGAGAGGGGACCTTACTAGGGAAGGACGGAGAAAACTAATTGGCAGGAGCTGAGCCTGGTGGGCTGCGTGGAGCTGAGGTGGGTTGGTGCCCTGGGTCCAGCTCTGCATTCCAGCTCTCTCTGTTCCAGTGTGACCAGCAGGGTCAGGTGGCTCATCTGATCTGAGGAGCCCATGTGACAGACAAGGGAGTTGAGCACGGCATTGACACAGGCTCCACCACTCCCTACCTGATATGTGCACATTCACATTTGAAGGCATTTGGATTCATAACTGGAGCAAGCCTTTGTGCAGGGAA